CAGCTGATGCAGTCCTCCGCCTCCGGACCCGTGCACTGCAGACAGGTAGCATCACACAGGTGGCACTTTCCATGTTTATTCATGTACTCTCCTGCAGACAGAGAGCCACAGTGAACAACATCACCTCACACACACACTGTCTGCACCGGCACGTTCTGACCTTTTGTTGCTACTAATTTCATACTTGTTGTGTGATATAGTCATTTGGCGGCTCCAGGTTTTTGGTTTCATATGTCTAACAGTTTTTTGTTTTCATATGTCTAACAGGTTTTTGTTTTCTGCTTGAGTGACTTTATTTGATATTGGGACATGGTGACACAAATTATAATCAATAGTCAATTGTTATGTTTTTTCCATTTCATTGAAGGTCCAGCTCATTATCCTTTCATTTCTGACATCACCTTCATGATAACAATTATTGTCTCTTCCTCTCTTTGTTTTCTCTTAATATTGTGTGTGAATACAATTAACAGGTTTAAAAAAAATCTTTTAGAAAACATCCAATTTGAAAATGTCACTCTCAGACGTAAGTACAGTTTGGCCCCTTGTAAGCCTGAAAACACAAATAAGATTAAATAATGACTTTTTAAAAATGAATATATAATAATAATAATTGATCAGATTCCTATACTGCTTTTCTAGGCACTCAAAGACACCTTATACTGTCAATGTAAATGTTTTTATTACAAGAACAAAATTAACAAAAAACTCTAATCTACAGTAAAAGCAACCTGATAATAGTTTTAGTTGTGACTATAACTTCTCAGCATTACAGAATGAGTTCATCGCTTTTTCTGTTGAGTTTGCATTTCCTCTTCATGTTTGTGTGCTTTCCTTCCATCATCCAAAGTTTAAACAAACTTGAAGCCATGTCACTCATTAATGTAAGTGTCAGGCTCAAGGCAACTGGGGCCTTTTCAGCCCTCCTTTTTTAATACTTTCTATTTACTTTAGTGATTTTTGTTTTATGCTTTAATAATTTTTAAGTATTAAAAGTGACATTTCTAGTACAGCTGGTTGGAGAAGATATGTGCTTAGTGATAACAACAGAGATGCTTCATCTAGAGTATCATATCATAAGGCATGTCATGAAACACTTCCTCCACTGATGAAATGCTGGAAATGTATGTAGGTGTTGGAAAGTTTTTGTCACAAAACAGACTAGAAATTGAGTTTTGAGCGCCAGAAACCTCAACACCTGGAAAAGTAATTGTTGAGTCTCTTGCAATGATCAAAACCATTTTTGGATTTCAGGTAGAGATCTTATTGTCACTCCATAGTACGTCGAAGTAAAAAAATCATACTACTACCACCACTACCACTACTATGACCACTACTACTAATAATAATAAAGTTATTCCTACCTAATTACTTTTTCTTTCTCAGGAATGATTAACTAATCTTTGTTCACATATAAAATGTATGTAAGCTACTGAGTCTAAGGATTAAGGAGGGGGAAAAAAAGTCTTTAAAGAAACCCATCAACCTTCAGCTTCACTCTCGGCCGCATTGAAAAGAGCCATAACAAAGGAGGCATAAACATTGCCTCCTATCCACCTTTTGTATCAGACAAAGGTGACAGACACTGGTTCAGGCATAAGGATGGAGCTGTGTGTGTGTGTGTGTGTGTGTGTGTGTGTGTGTGTGAGAGCATCCTTCAAGGCAGCGGTGAGGTTGTCTGTGCTCTCTGGCTTTCTGTGAAAAGCTCAATTGTTCCTTTCAAAACAAAAGAGCTTCTTTGTGTACAAACACAACAGGCGGTGGCTTCCCATTCAGTAGAGCTCTGCTGAAACCATTCAAACAGCCCCCGAATAAACGCCACCACTCTTCCTCACACACACACACACACACACACACAAATTGTCTCCCTGTCTTTCTGTTTGTCTCCCCCTCACTCACGCTCACAAACAAACAGAGAGCCAAGTTCTCAAGGGACGGCAAGCCGCACAGCTCCACTCGGCAGAAGCAGACACTTTGGACTCCCACTGCCAGACGGGAGAAGAATGGAGCGGAGAAGATAGAGAGGCTGCCACTCAGGGGATTAAAACTTTTCCTCTGTTTTGGACTGGGCTGACCTTGTGAGGACACTGACAGTCGACACTGTCAGCAGAGGGAAAGAGAGAGAGAGAGAGCTCTGCTGGCAGGTATCACACTGACATCCGCCACACCTGGTCCTGAATCCCAATTCCCAGCCCCCCCTCCTCCTTCCAGCTCCTGATGCCTGCGAACACTTAGTCCAAGAACGGAGGAGAAAATATATATGTTGGGCCGGCAGGTGGTCAAGAGAATATTAAGCATATGGTTTATTTACTATTGTGATTTTTAAAACCACTTCTTCACTTGAGTAAAGTTGTACAATTTTTAAAAATCTATCCTCACTATTTAGTAGCAGATACATGTTCAAGGGCAGTTTTAGGAATATTACCAAACAATAACTGCAGACCCAGCTCCCCAGTAGATGCTAAAAACTTAGAGGCCAGATGAACAACTTGAGAGAGCTCAATAAGAGGTGCACTTCACAGAAACGTTCGCTCGGACTAAAATCAGCATTTACGTGAAGGATGCTGACCTTCCACTTCATCAATAAAAATGATCCTCGAGTGAAGGAAAAATCTGTGACACTGTTTGATTTTATGACACTTGTAAGATTCCCTGAAAATTGTGCTCGATTCGTGAGCTGCAGGACTGTTCGTACACTCTTTCTGTCTTGGTTACACTTGAAGTAACTGTATATCGCTGTATAATCATTTAACAAAAAACATCATGAATCACTTTTACTAACAGTTTAAACAAGTTTTTAAACAAGCTGGAGCTGATGAAAAGAAAATTTTTTTGGCAAAACGCAATCGGTCAAATTCCTGATGTAACACACTCGCCAGCGTTGGAAGAAATACACCAGTCGTAGAGACACATTGTAAACACCTTTAAGGACACAAAGGACAACAGAAATGGCTGTAAGTCGTAGGCTGTGACCGTCCTGCAGCGAGATGGTCTCATAAGAGCCTCTAAGAACCATCGGTGTCTCCTGATGCCTTTGGAGCAGTTAGCAACGCTTGAGGTGGAGGGGACATTTTATTGGTTCATGTGCACACAGACCAAACTCTGAGCAACAGAAAATCAAGAATTTGCAGCTTTCCAGATATTATTACTGTCTGCAATGGTGCAAAAACCTTGTTTATTGATGGTGTCATGATGTTGTAGCTCTTTTTGGAACAGACTTTATATGAGGAGTTTTTAGTTGTTTTGCACTGGGAGGTTGCACCTGGGTTACTCCATCTCACACCATCAGGGGCCTCCTGCTCCACCGCCTCTGATTCGCCTGAAACTTTTTGGAAATTTTGTGACATGCAAGTAAATAAGTTTCAGAAAATATCACTAGTTGATTTCTGCTATGTGTGTGTGTTAATGTGAGCTCAGAGATGGGACTGTTATGATTGATCAGTAATCAGAGAGTATTTGATCTACGTGTCTACTTATTGTAGATGCTGAATCAAAGGCATAATGAGTATTAACAGTGAAGATTGTCAGCCCTTATCTTAAATAGTTCTTGTTGTTCAAACATAGCCTCAAATTTCAATGTACTGAAAGTGGTCCACAGGCAGTTATAAAAATCCATCCATTATCTATACACCGCTTAATCCTCACTGGGGTCGCAGAGGGCTGGAGTCTATCCCAGCCGACTTAGGGCAAAAGACAATTTAGAATCACCAATTAACTTCAACATGTTTTTGGACAGTGTGGGAGGAAGCCGGAGAACCCGGAGAGAACCCACACTGCACGGGGAGAACATGCAAACTCCACACAGAAAGATCCCAGGTGTCCTCACTGGGACGCAAACCGGCGACCTTCTAGCTGTGAGGCAGCGATGCTAACCACTGAGTCACCTTGCAGTCCAGTTTTATAAATGATCTTGCAAAATGTTACAGATATCATTCTAAATATCCATATCTTATGTTGTAAAAACTGAAGGCAAATCAGTGCTGGTTGAGCAGAGATACTTGTAAAAAAAACGCAATGATATGAGATGGACTGAGCCGCCTTCGTTATTGTATAAAGCAGATGTACAACATCTCCTATATACCGAAAGTGAATTAAAATAGCACTTAAATGCTTCATGGAGGACTGTTACATGATTGATCAATATCTTTTCCAAAACTAATATTACTTTAGAAGTATCTTGTGACTATAAACAACAATCTAACTACTGATAATCAGGAAACGTGAAGAGTTCATTGGCAAAAACAGATAACTCCATCTTCACAAACCTTCAGAAAACCCACTTTTCCATCATCTACCTGAAACAATGAAGATCAAACTTAACTTATCACTATTTTTGTCATTTCTACTGAGTCAAATCCACTCCGCTTCAGTTTGATTGATATTATCTCAAGCAAACAACAAAAAAAATAAGTTTTCTGAAAATCTACAAAAATGGAGTTTTCTGTTTTTGCAAATGACATCTTCATGTTCTCTCTACAAACTGACATGTTGATATTTTTCCAACTGCAGCCTTAGAGTTTTTGATATTGGTATTAATTGCTACTTTATGGCAAGAACAGAAAACACGGAAAAACTAAAAAAAGGGGGGGGAAACAACCCTAAAACAAATCACGTTCTACATTCAAACTCATCATATTCCACTCATGAACGTTAACTAGAATAAATGCAGATAAGACGATGAAGTCTGCACCTATAAGAAAGCAGCTAAACCCTGCATTGCTGACCTCATTGTCACTGAGTGCACACATCTCCTTTTAAAGGCTCTGCCCCGGGGCAGGTGCAACTTTCACTTAATTAATGTGATCGAGTGTCGGAGGGGGGGGAAAAAAATCTAGGATCTGAATTTCAATTATGTCATTTCCTTTCGTGAACTTGTAAAAGAATGAAAAAAGAGAATTAATGTTTTAAAAGGTGAGAACAACAAAAACACTGAAAGGACAAACTGCTGCTGATTAACACACTGTCAACATAATAAGAACTTAAAAGAAAACAAAAACATGAACAGATTAAACATTTTAATAAGAACACTTAAGTAAAAAAAAAAAAAAAAAAAACGATTTTCAAAACTAGGACTTTGAGTAACATTAATAATGCATTGTCACAGATATGTCACAGGTACACAATAAAAACAGCTTTTATACGAGGGGAGGGCGTGCGTGTGTGTGTGTGTGTGTGTACATGTGTGTTTGTGTCTACTACCACACACACGTCATCTTAAACAATGACCAAGATTAAGTTTTTGTTAACCAAAACAGGGGATTCATCAATCTTTATTACAAATCATCAAGAACCATAACCAGGTGACAGTACAACAATTCATCTAATACTGTAAATGCTCAAGCTGCAGGCGTGAACACCCGCACAAAGTAAGAACCTTAAACATGATTTTTTATTTTTTATTTTTATTTTTTTTGCTGTTCTTTATTAGAAACCAGCACCTCCGGAATAACCTTTGAGTTCCATCAGGAAAGGTTCAGAGACAGACAGGAGGAGAATCCAGGCATCTGAAGTCTGCTGGCCTTATCACAAGCGTAGATTTGGCTCAATACGACACAACTCCTGATTCTGCAGGTTCACTTTTAGTTTCGACTATTATAACGGGAGAATTATTGCCTCATTGTGTGTGTTGTCCAATTTTGTTTTTTTCTGCTGCCAAATGTGTTTCTTATGTCTGAATTTTCAACAAAAAATACTTTTTCCGGAAATAACTGAAAGCAAGATCAGCAGAGCTCTTTGCTGCCTGTCAGAGACTTTCCCCTGCAGATGATAACAACAGAATATTTTTTTTTGTGCCAAACGTTGACCTTCTGTGTTCAAAGTGTAGCGCAGTTCTTCAGTTGATATGCATTGCCATTATAATGGAATGACGCAGAGTAGAAACTTCTAAAACTCTATTTTATTTGAGAACAGTAACATGTAGGGATGCACCGATACAGATAAAATATCATCCTTGGACAAAAAAAAAAAAAAAATTCCCTTAAGCGGGGTTATATATGGCATGTGGAAACCAACATATAAAAAAGATTTTCATATCCCTGTAACAAATGTGAGTTATAGTTCGATTACTTTATCCAGTGACAACAAAAGAATGGAGGAGCTTTAAATCTTTAGTCACAGTAATGGATGGAATCAATACTCAGTTTTGGGCAAAAGTTTAGTATCTAGAATGTTCATCATGAGTGAAAAATTGGCATCGGTACATCCCTAGTACCACGAATTCATTATAACTCACTGCAGTGTTTCCTTCCCTGCAGAAAGATCTGGAAGGAATGACTATCGACTCGTCTTGTAGTACCTTTTGAATGAATCAATGCTGTCTGGGCTTACATCAAGAATTAATGGCATTCTCCTGGACACACCGATAAAGACAAACGCACACACACGATTCAGAGGGCAGGTTTGTGTTTTAAATAAATGAAATGAGGTGATTTTGGTCAGTAACGTGCATCAGTCTTGGCATACAGTGACACTGTGGTGTCTGTAACTTCAAGTGGCGGCTGATTTATGTGTCTGAGTTCATGTTTATAAGTGCCTGTGTGTGGTAAGTGTATATAAATGTGTGTGAATTTGTCTTCTCTCCCCTAAACAGCCAAAAGTCAGCCCAGACACACATTATTTTCACATTACTGAGTGAGCTTCTTTTTTTTTTTTTTCTTCTCTCTCTCTCCTTTGACGTATATTTACAGGCAGAAAACCATGGCCTTTCCTACTGTATGTTCACTTTCCATCTGTTTATCGTTAACGCTGGAAAGAGAGGAGGAAGAGGAGCCAAAATAAAAATGCACACAGACGTATTCAGAGATTCACAGGCTGAGTGGCTCCTGTTTTTTTAGCTATGCTTCCTACACTGGCAACAAAAAAAGAAGGTTCAATTATTTTGGCATCAATGCTTTGGTCACAAAATACCGACACTTTTATTCTTTTGTTTGTTTTCACTTTTGTTTTTCATTTGCTCATTTGTTCTTGAAGTAAGTCCCAGTCATTTTACACCCTGACCACGTGTGTGTGTCCCAGTACAGAAAAAAGGTAGGTTTGTTGTAGTCCTGTCATCGCACCTCCGATGCAGTCCCTTTAAGAGGCACAGATTCTCTTATAAATTATGTGACTATGAATGAGTGGGCAGGGGGTTTGAGAAGGAGGGGTGCCCCCTGTGCCCCCACATCCCCCCTGCACTCCCTTTACGCCCAGTGACTACGTCCCGTCACCCCTTTTGCGAGCACGTTCTGCAGCACAGTTGCTGCAGCACTTTCCTCTGGCAAAGATTGTTCTTTTTAACAAGCACGCAGAAGCTGCCTTCCGCCCAAGATTCTTCATTTGCTTTCCACAGACCAGGAAGAAGAGATACAGGGGGGGGGAGTTTGGAAGGGGGAGGGAAGGAGGGGAGGAAGGGGTGGAGGGAGACACATCCACATACACACAAATACAAACACATGTGGAAAAACACACAGGGCAGAACCATTAGCAATGGTTGAATGACAGGCAGAGCCGTGTGATTGATCAGGAGAGGGTTCAGGTGACAGGAAGAGTTTTTTTGGTTTTTTGATCCAATCACAGGTGATGTTCATCGAGGTGGAAAATGATTGTAGTCCAGTGGAGTGATTGGATCCATGTCAGGAGAAAGGGAAAACAGGGGAAAAAAACAAACAAAAAAAAAACAGAAAGAGAGAGAAAAAACAAACGTCACACAATTAGCAAATTGAGGATTTTTGAAATTCACAACTTTGTGTCATTTAGCATAATAAAAAACACATAAAGTGGACCCTCAGTCTGTGAAACCTGTGGGCCAATTCTTCAATTTGTCAACAGCAATTTAACAGAAATGTACTTTTGAGCTACCAATTTGAAAAAATAAAAAAGTCACCAATATGAAACGTTTGGTTGAGGAAACAGACTGAGTGTGCACTTTAAGCTAAGTCCTCATCATTAACAGAAAGGTCACACAGTAAAGATGTTTTTCTCCTCAGAGCTTTATCTCATCACAAGCTGAGAGACTTCGTGGCCATTGGTTCATCTTAACTAGAAGGTCATGGCTAAAGGTCAAAGCCTCGTAATCAGAAAATCAAGTCAGTCGGTTAGTGAAGAGCAGGAATATTTACACTAAAAGATCCATAAACCAAACATGCACAATTAGGAAGAAGGGCAAAAACCACGAAGCACACGCACCAGAAAATGGAGAGTTCAAAAGAGAAATCAGAAGAACACTTAAAAAGGAGACGGAGAGTAAGTAGATGGTGTTAAGAATCCTAACAGTGTGACAAAGCACCGCGACAAACCAGGAAAAGAGGGGTGATATTAAAATAAAAGGACAAGAGCGTGTGAGTGTATAATCCCAGAGAGATATTATATTAGTCATGTGCAGAACATTATGAGACCTAGATGAAGAGCACAAAAGCCAAAAGCAAGGACAAGACGGCCTTCCTGCTTCGAAGCTGCACCAGTGAGCACTTTAGTTCAAGGTGTTAGTACAAAGCTCTTATTACTGAACTACAAAGGCCACAAGTGAATCCTTTACTTACAAATAAAGCTACATGTCACATTTTTCTTTTGATTTATCTGTTAATATATCTGGAGACGATGTGTGAATCTGCACCTTGAAGGTTTTTGATTACGATGATTTTTTTGTTTATCAAACATTTAGCAAAAACCAGAATTTTGTTCAGTTTTTTTCCACTTTAAAGCACCTTTTTTCTGTCATGATAACTGTGACGAGCAATGCAACAAGTATGAAATACACACACATCAAGAAATAAGAAAGCTGACAACTCACCATCTTTGCAGATGGTGCTGACCACGCAGGCTCCTGCCTCCAGGTTGTAACCACTGACACAGCTGCTGCAGTTTCTTTCTCCGGGCCCCAAGCACTCGTAGCAGCTATTGTCACACCTGTCAAAGGTTGTGTGAAGAATTACATTCCGGTCTAGGCGGCAATAAACTTTGCTCACATACCCACTTTCAAAGCTAGAACTGTCCCTTAAAGGCAATTTACATTCACATGCTCCGATATACATTTTAAACCACTGAGCTATTGGGAACAATGAGCAGGAAAACAATGTAAACCATCCTTAAAGTGACAAACACACCTTTGCAGTGTGGTGTTTCATTCTGCTGCCTTAGATATGTTATCTTTGCAGAGTGTGTGCCAGTTGATTAGCATGCATACGGTCATATCAGATATTGTGTAAATAATTGCAGTGAATTAAACATTACTCTTCCCCCTCTAATCACTGCATGTGATTTCTTTTCTCGTTGCTCCATTCTGGCCGAGTGTGCATCATAAACTGTGGAGGTGTTTAACATTAAATGATAAAAAAAAGCACACCAATGGTAGCTTCCAAATTGCCTTGCAGGTACGATCAAACATCAGCTGACTGTCCTGTAGTTGTTTCCTTCAGCCACTCCGGTTCATATTAGTGAGCAGTGTTTGGAAGTGACTGAAGGTTTTAAAGTAAAGCAAGAAAGGGAATTCTGAGAAAACATATCTGAAACAATCCTAGTTCTGACATTTACCATCCTGCTAGTGTGAAAGCAGGGCACAACATTTATGGGAAATTATCTGACATCAGCTTCTGAGACAAGGGGGGGGTGGTGACCGAGGATAAAGGAATCAAGTAAAGGTAAAGGATCAAGTGAGCAATAAATAATTCAAGGTGGGAGAGAAAAATACCAGGGAGGCAAAGCCATCACAGGAAACGATAAGAAGAGCAGACAAGATGTCTGAGTCAGTGGAGGAGTTGGACTGTGGGTGTGATAGCAGACAAACTAGTCATCAAACTGTCATCAAGCATAGGAATATGAGTACGTTTACAAGTTCCTTCCCTCAATTTCCTCCACATCCAGGTCAACATTACTGAGGAGCTGTTTGTTGGGAAACAATGACCAAACAGCAGCTCTGATGTTGGAAAATAACTGAGGGACACAAGTTTTATACTTTGACTGTAAACTGACAACAAAGTCCTCGCTTGTAGGATTTTCTGCTTTTTGTTGCAATGACTGTAATTTTGTTTAATTATTCCTGTTTGGGTTCCAATTTTAAAAGTTCAACAAATCATCTGCAGGCCAACTTCTCAAAACCAGCATCGAATAGCGACACTGCAGAGAGGACAAGGAACACTAGAAAAGGCCAAACTCATCCTAAAGTAAGGACATTTGCACTTCACTTGCTCAGTAAAGGCAGATTTCCTTGTTTATCTGTACGGAATGGAAAGTTTTTTTTTTTGCTTGTTACTGTCGTGCAGAGGTGTTGGCATGCGTGCTGACTCACTTCTTACAGAACCTCTGCATCGGCCCGCTGTCTGAGGTCTGCTCTGACAGGTAGTAGCCGGAGCTGCATGTTGCCACACAGCGCCAATCCTCAAGTAAGTAGCCGTCTGAGCACTTAGTGCATGCTTCTATACCTGTGCCTGAAAAACACATGAACACACGCTTCAGGAATTCTGTCAAAGCCACAGAGTTGAAAAAAGAAAACGACAGTGCACACTGACCTTGATAATAAATTTACTTCTTATAAAGCATTAGTTCATTACAAATAGTCATGACTTCCTACCTGCGCAGGTGGCACAGGCCCGATGACAGAATTCACAGGCCCTTCTGTGGCCGTTGTAATAAGTTCCTGGGTCGCAGGTCATCTGACACTTGTTTCCTTGAAGACTGGAAAACAAAATAAAAAACACAGAAGATACGTTTTTGTACATTCGCAGTCAATACCGAAAAAGGAATATTGCATTTCCTCTTTTGGCATCATGACATTCAAACTCCTGGCTCTTTATCAGTGAAAGTTGGCCTGACACAACAACTGCTGCAGAAGAATTTCTGGACAAAGATTTAGAAAGAACTAAAGAAAAAAAAAAAAAACACCAACTGCAGCACCAGTGATACTGTGTCATGTGTGGGAGTGCACAACGGCGACTGGCCTTTCGTTCACATTTTGACTAATACCCCGAAAAATGTAATTCAGATCCGTCTCGTTTTGACCAGCGCACAACACAAGGGGTTTTGAAAGTGCCAGATGTTGGGGTGGAGGTCAGTTAGGAAGCAGGTTTGGAGGTTATAAAGTCAGTTCTGTGAAGTCGCAGTGAGGACAGGTTGGTGAGCTTGCTGTGCTAAGCTGAAAAACAGCTGGTCTGTGTTAGCTAAAGTTTCCCAGAAATGATCTCGTCTGGTTCCCTCTTCCTCCCCGGCTCCTAACTGAGCATTAATGGTAAAGTAAATGGGACAGGGGAGGCTGTGTGTGTGTGTGTGTGTGTGTGTGAGTCTAACTGTGATCTCGTTGAGGAAATTATGGCCTTCGAGTGTCCCCACCTCCACCTCTGGCTACACTGAACACTCAGAGTTGGGTTCAAGACCGCAATATGTTTTAAACACTTCACAAGTGTTTCCTTCATGACCTATCAGGAATTCCAGCACTTTGAAACGCCCTATCCTCTGTCAGGTCAAGTGTAGTCGGGTCGGTTTGAAGAGGCTGCCGTGGAAGTGGCCAAAAACTGAACTGGAACATGTCTGCATGGTGAACTAAGTGGTTTCGATCAGAGGCTCTTCAGAGTAAGGATTACAACCCAAAACAGATCCACTACTTGTGGGTATCCACATGACATGAGTATATGTGGGTTTTAATAAGCCTGGGTCACCGGGTGAATCTCAGTTTACTCAGTTTGGGTCCCAAGCGGAAAACAGTTGGGAAGCCCTGGTTTCACTGGTTCATGCTGCGAACCCAAACCACAGTGTAACATAATGTGCTGGTCTAAATTAGTGGTGCTGTGTTCCTGCGGCGTTACATTGGAAGAAACACAAAAGGTTTTTTATCCTGAAGCCATAACACAGTTGATGGCTTTTAGGAGCACAGGGCGCCATGTTTGCAACATATTTCAGAATTAACTGATTAAAATTAGAGCGTGTATGTTTTGTTGAGCTCCATATGAACCAAACTGTTTATGTACATGTGGAACATAAAGGTTGGGTGTAACTCAGGAGGCAAAGCGAGTCGTCCAGTAATCACAGGACTGGCCGCCCCCCTTTTGAAGTGTCATGGGGCAAAGCACTTAACTGTGAGTGTGAACGGGGGAATGAGAGGCAAATTGTAGTGCACTTTGCAAAACAAAGTGGTTTGTATGGCTGTGTTTAAAGACAAATGTGATTTTAGCTCTTCTAAACAGCCACGCGTGAAGGTGGAGCAACAAGCCGCCGTCATAATGTGGAAGCTTTCTAACATCCTTTCATTCTGCAGTTGTTTGGGATAAGAGACGATCAACCCTGCTTACTTTCTCACCTCCACACAGTTGACCAACGACTGCATTAAGTGAGTGTAAATGTCAGGTGACAAGCTTTTGAGATCCACAGACATGCCGGCATCCAAACTCATGAATATACAGCGAGACAGAAATCCATTGTTTCTAAGACACCAAAACTATCAGGGCTTTACACTCTAATCAGTGACTCCTGTTAGGCTCTACACAACTCCCAGCTTACCTCATCCCAGGTTTACATTCTGTGCAGACACTGGAGCTCGCACACTTCTTGCAGTTCTCTTGACATCTCCTGCAAATGTTGGAATCTGAAATACACAGAGAGAGCCAGTCGTACACAGTGGCTAATAGGAACCATAAGTCCGGTTGCATTTCGAAAAAAAAAAAGGAAGGGAACAGAGGAGAAAGACAGCGACGAGGAATACGAAAAAGGCTAAAAGGAGTGAGGAGGAGCAGAGTTGTGGAGGAAAAGGAGAGAATAAGTATAAGACGGGCCACATGAACAAAACAGGAGGAAAAAAAGGGGGGGTGAGACTCAGCGAGACGGCAAGTGAGACGTGAGGGGGGGAGAAATCTGTGAGGCTGAAAAAGAAAATTGTAGTGTTGGTGAGGGAGGATGGGAATGTGGATGAATATTTCAAAAGGCAGGCTAAAGGCAATGACACGCTTTGACACAATGCACATGGACACTTGCGCTTGCAGCAGCAACGACGATTGCCAAAAAGATATGTGAATAACATGTTTCATCTCTCCAGGGAAGCCAAGGAGTAGACTACGGCTATAAATTAAAACCCTTATTTCTACATTTCCGAAAAGCATTTCTTCTGTATGACACATCTTTTTGTGGTTCTGTTCGAGGTTAGAGATAAAAATCAAGAGGAGGAGACTGGGAGTAAACGAGGGTTTGCTGTGTTGGACTTTTAGGAATCTGAAAATCATTAAAGGCTGGATGCAGGATGTGGATGGGATCGACTGATTTCCATAAAAAGAGAATGCACTTTTGCGTTAGTTCTCGACTGTTATTTGCACCGTTTTAGCTGAGAATTGGATGTCAAAATTATCCGACAATTACAAGAAAATTCTGTAACAATTATGAAGAGTACATGTGAATTGAGCAGTGGTGTGATTTTCCAACTTTTTGTCTGTTTTGTGTCACGGTATGTTGAACATCTGTGGATTTTGAACAGCTGGTGGGAGAGATGACACCAACTTTGGCTTCCTGAAACTGTGATGTCACCATTTTCTGACTTTCTATACAATGAACATAAACCAGCCAATTAAAACGCAATAAAACATGAACCCTTAAGGAAAATAACCAACCTAGTACAACGCTGGATAAGATGTTTTATGGACATATAAGACAGTCAGAAAGCATCTATGAATTGTGTTTACAGTAATTGTAACGTCACACAATAGTCAGGTGTTAGGTTGTCATCTCTAAAAAGGTATCTTGACCAGTAATAAACTCACATCCACGTGTTGATAAAGGCAGGAATTCACCTCGCTTTGCTATCAGAATAACAAAAGGAAAACAATTGCTCATTTAAAGCAACACAATACCAAGCTGCGCTGACATTTCAAAAGGGAAAAAAGGTATCCACTACATCTTGGCCGGTTGAAATGTTATGATTGAACTTGGATCGGATCATGTCAGATCTGCTGCCAGAGACTCTCCGAGCTGCCAGGACTTATACTTTCTTGGCTACAAAGCAAATATATAGACATAATTATAAGATATACACAGTTTCAGTCTCCCATTCCTGATTTGCTTTCATCCAGACGGGGCATACATCTTGAACACAAGACAAACCGGCGTATGAATACCACCGCACCACTCCGTTTATTAAAAGCCGCTGATAAACGGGAGAGAAAACGAGACAAATTACCTAAAATATAGTCCAAAGACAAGTCCTCCTGCAAGTCTGGTTTATTTCAGGCTTCGTGCTACTTTAATTTGGTGGAGAAAAAAAAAAATGGCATAGACCTTTCAGTCCTGTTCAATTTAGCAAGTGCATAAAAATAAACATGTGGCTAGACATTACATCAAGGCTACCATGGCATCACTCTGAGGCAGCCAATGAAAGTTTTGCTGATAGTTACGACCATTTTTTTTTGTGATGCCAGCAGCGGGCACATATTTCTTGAAGTCCAGCTTGTTTGCTATTAGTGGATAACCTTCTCCTCCCTTTGCAGTACATTTCATTAGACTCTAATCTTAAGGACTTCAGGCTTTGGTAATCAGATCAATGGACAACTAAGTAACAATGGACTTGCTGGGACAATGAGGACAATCAGCGACCTTGGGTGGGCACACAGTAGTCATTATCTATCTCTGTGCTGACGGGTGCAGTTTGCTGCAGCGCCTCCACAACTGCTAAGCCAAATCGAGCTTGTTTGCTGCATTTTGCAAAAGAGAGACACTGTTGAAGCTCATAAAAACCCCAAACTGGAACCAAGGAATGCTGAAAAAAAAAAACCCTAACAACTACCTGACAGTGTTATGCGCTGCCATGTTCGCCAATGTAGCAGGAAGGGAAACGTACCACTATCGAGGTAGAAGCCGTCGGCACAGGTGGCGACACACGTGTTGGAGCCCTCGTTGAGGTGAAAACCAGTCCTGCATGTGGTACACTGGTCGCTGCGACTTCCAACACAGGTCTCGCACAAGGAGGAGCACTTCTTGCAGCGCTTCCTATCGTCACGGAAAAAACCGCTGGGGCACTCGGACACGCACATCCTGCAGAGAGAGGTGATTGAAGGGAGGGAAAAGAGGGAGACCAAGGTGAGAAAGAGCGTCACAAAAGGCAAAAAAGTCGAAACACGACACGGATTTCTTACAGATTTATTCATGTTGCCTCTGAAGGTTCAGTCTGCTTGAACAATGAAGGCCAAATCATTGTTCCGTGATTAACAAGCTCCACCACACAGTTCAGTGTAATGTTTACAGGCTCAAAATGTAAAACATATGTAGTACGGGCATCGAGTTTCACAGAACCAAAGCAGAAATAAATATATTTTTGCTGTAACAAGATCACATAATGAGTTGAGACGACCAGATACAGAAGTAGACGGGCTGAGTTGTGTGCGTGCCGGTGCTATACAGCGAACAGGTCAACATCTGCTGAATAACTTCACAGCCCCTCATCACCCCCTCATTTCACCCAGAGGCTCCCTTACTAAGGTGAAAAAGACCTCCAAAATCCTCAAGAGCGCACACACACACACACACACACACAGACACAAACACACACACAGACACACACACTTTAAGCCGTATTCGCACACTACAGGGTTTTCTGCCAAGAAACACATATGGCACGTGTGAAACACATAATCCACGTGTGCAAGAACACACTGCCATTCATTTGTCCTCCAACTTCAATACCGTTTCTCTGCTACACCGAAATGATTATTTAAACTACTCAAATAAAAAAAAAAACACTGAAACATTACATCAAGGATGCCGCTAAACATGAACTTTAAACTGCTCTGTCCTGAACAACACAAGTCAGTGCAAATCTTGTTGTAAAAGCTACTCAAATAAAATGTTTACTTTGATATTTTTGGCCCTCATTTCTATTTGATAATGTTTGAGTCGCCAGATTAATTTATGGAGCAACGGATCGAGTTCCTGCTCTGCTCTGTCTTCAGTGTTCTACCAACGGCAACAAATCTCCAAATCTCCTAACTGAGACTCATCATGCCGAAAAGTTGGAGCATTCAGATGGAGGCACTGTCAGGTGTTGGCTCTGCTAGCTGAGAGAGTAGACAAAGAGAAGAGGTAAAACAAGACCAAGCTCGAGGCCAAAGGCCCTCGCTTTATCAGTCAGGGGTTAAGGTGAGCAAGGACGCTCAGGGTGCAGATATACGTGATACTGCAAATCCTTTGGAAAGGAGAGTCGGCCTCAGAATTCAACTCAAGTTTCCCAAAGAAACTGCAGATGCCAACCTAAAATTGCATTCTGGTCAAGAACAACAAACTGGTGGCCTTCATGGAGTTCATGGCACCCTGGAGAAAAAAGGATCAACTGGGAAAATGCCAGTCCCTCATCTTTGAAAGCCAGCAGAAGGCATGGCGAGCTTTGAACCTCCTGGTGGAATTACCCTGCAGGGGCTTCCCAGAGCATCACTCTGGAGATCAGTTCTACTGTCCAGCCCCTCTGAGGTGTTGTGGGCCACTCGACAAAACACCAACAAGGGGAGGTTCACACTTGAAACCCCTTTGAAGGTGCTAAGATCTGAGCCACAAAGCTCTTCCATCACAGAATGCGGGGGCGACGGACGAGAGCAATTTCATGCCTCACATATGAAGCAGGAGATAATTCCTGCTACGTGAGGCGGCTGTGTCGTGTAAAGACGTCTTTCCTGATTCACTATTTACTAGACCTTCCACATACAGGTGTCTTTATATTAAAATAGCACACAGAAATATAGAACAGAACTCCACTTCAGTAATTGGCCCGATTGGCTGCAGCTGTATTGAATTAGGTGGGTCACTTTAAACAGGGCGAATACTTACACAATCACTTATTTCACATTTTATATTTGTAGTTATTTGACATTACTGCAGAAATCTAAAAACAAGGATCATTTTCACTAAAAACAGAGATGTAAAAAAAAACAAAAAACACACCCGGCAAAGTTCCAAAGACCCACACACCTTCACATGAGTGCAGACCATCAAACACATATGCAGGGATGTAATTATCTTAACATTAAACACCAGCGCCGCCCAAGCCCCTTCTTCCAACCACTCCCCCCAATCTTCATTCATCAATTGCTCCCTGTGGTGGCAGAAAAGGGCAGCACACCACTAAAGTGGGCTAATGATAAGGCAGCACCTAAGCTTGCACATTCTCATGCACCTGCATCGGTCTCCCTTTTATTAGAGCAGAGACAAGCTGACACAAAGGCAATTACCACAGACTTTGATCCTAATGGGATACTAAGGGGACACACAAATGTACACACATGCACAGACGTACACTTACACTGACTTATATATACGATTAACAGGGAGAAAGATGGGCAGCATGAAATATGACAGCATCTCTGATATGAGACTGATGAGGCGACACTGACACGGCTGTATGAAAGAGGGAAATGTACACGTGTGCTATATGAAGGTTCCAGTTTTAACAGTTTCACAATGCTCTAGAGGTCTTCTGAAACGGTTTATAAATACACAAGTCAGATTTTCTTTCTTAATTTTTTTTTTTAAGTCAACTGTCAAAAAGTCACAAGATGGAGAAACTCGTTTGCTGGATTCGCACAGCGCAAGACAGATTGTAAATTTCTGCCGGTATGCTGAGCGTTGCATTCAATCATGCAAAGTGGGCTGGTAAACAGATGTTTCTTTGACGCGTGTAAACACAATCGAAATTTCGCCCTCAGCTGATTGAATCCACGCATCGAGGGATTGGTATGCAACAGCATTCGCTGTACCTTCGTAAAACTATCTGATTGAGACGCCCTCAGCTAATATTGATCCGTCTCTTCACTGGAACTCACGCTTTAAAACAATCAAACGCTGCTGAAATAACACATGAGCCTGATGTATATTTTCACTTTGCAGCTTTCTATCTCAGACGCACCTTCTTTTTTTTTTTTTTTTAAATTAATAGAAGAAAACAAACTGTCTCTGTTGGGCTCTGCAGAACGAGATTACTTTCACATCTTCATATAAATGGTTTGATGAACTATTAACTGTTCCCCTGGAAGTCTGAAACGTCTTTAATTTCAGTCAATACTTTGTTATCCAAGCGCTCAAATAGGAGCAAAATGAAAGTTTAGTCATTGACTTACTAACTTCCTCACTTAGAATTACTTTTAATTATTAATTTATTTGTGATTTGTTTGGCTCTAAATGATTAGTTTCTCAACTATTCTCAGTGTAGAAACACCATGAGAAGGTGAAGAAGGTAGCAGAAGATGTTGAATTTGAGGTACAAAACCGGTACAAGTTTCCCCTTGTGATGTGTGATTTTAATAAAATGTTTACAGTCGTGACTCGATAATCCGACCCTTAACAATCCTAAACCTTGCTATTCGACAGGTTTTTAGAAAAAACAAACGAAACCCATAAAAAACAGCCTTAACATACCGACAGCCTTGGATTCCAACTCTGACATGACATTTTATGTCACAAATAAGGATAACAGCGTATTATTTGACTGAACAATCCCACAGATTAGCTACATTCAGACTGCAGGACTTAATGCTCAATTTGGATTTTTTGTGAAATCCGATTATTTTGTGAGTTCGTTCACATTTCCAATTAAATGCGACTTGTATGTGATCTGCTGTGTGAACTTCATACGACCCAAAAGCGTCCCGCACGCGCAGAAGAGGACACGACGACGTCACACACAGCGAGCGTGCTCAGTGTTTATGGTAGTAAACACAGATGGTAACGGTGGAGCGTTTCTGCCACTCCCCCACCGCCACCGATGGTGGAAACAGAAATGTGACCGCTAACTAAACTGGCATCAGCAGCCAAATACTGCATGTGCGTTCCGCACACTTCCACCCCGTCGGAGTGCTCCCCCATGGTGGAAGTGTCCTCCCTGACCACGCCGAATATTCTGATATTCATCATTAATTGAGCCCAAATATCCAGAGACCAGAAAGTTCTATTCAGACCAGCACTACTAGTTATTAGAACAACTATGAACAATAAATATTAACAACAAATGACTGTTCAAACATCAAGCCCTCCTTGTATCTTGACCTCCGTCTTGACAATCCGACAGCCTTGCTATCCGACATAAAAGCAGGTTTTACATTTAGTGTTGAACTATCGAGTCACGACTGTACTTGCAAAAAACTAGATAAGCAACTAATGATGCTGTAAAGCCGTCTGACCTGGTGTTGTTCTTGAACTTGAGGAAGTAATGGAGGCAGTTAATGCAGTGATGGGGTCCGGGACCTTCACAGCCGTTCTCATTGCATTCAGCGTCACAGGGACCTGCAGAGAATGAAACACTTTAGTGGAAAAGCTCTAAAAAAAAAAAAGGCTCTGCAGTCTAAGAGCCTCATCAAAACAATCATTTATTTATTACAGTCTTTAAAAGTACCCTTAAACCGCATGTTACGAATTTGCGAGCGGCTCCGGATTTATTGCTTACCGTTGTACTCCTCTGGTACGTCCTCATCGGTGGACGTCAGCAAGTCTGTGAAGCGAGGCTTATCTATGTGCAGAGACGAGTACGGGTGGACAGAGGTGCCGTACAGCACCAGCGACCACTCCTTCAGTTTGCCTGAGAAAACAGAAGCTTTATTTTGGTCATCTTATGCACAGAGACATTTTGATATTTGATCTGTAGAGCTGCACTTTGTAATTAGGTCATGTTTAAAAAAAGTAATAATGTCATGTTTTTTTTCCAACTCAGTGGTAACATTAGTATTTGCAACCTGACTTTCACAATCACATCCCAACCAGAGCGGGAAGCGGGGATGAATTTTTCAGCCCTGTATTTTCGGCTATTTTCAGCCACACCACAAGCAGATTATATCATACGAAACGTTCAGCGATACCCAAAATTAAACTGAGCCAAGTTACATGGAATTAAAGCGACTGACGTAACAGCTTTTGAAAAACTGCTACTCCCCGTTCGAGACTCTAAATTAGTGGGTAGTTCCAGTTGTAAAGTTCGCTGCCTCCAGAGCAACATGTGTGCCCTGCCGATCCAAACGTTTCTCTACTTCTACTGTCTCTGTAAATTACAATATATTATTAAAAAATAACGTCAATACCAATGGAGACTTCCTTTTTAATTAAAGAAGTTATTAACGGTGTCATACCAGGTACTTTCTGGCTGCGGAGTTGAGAAGGTGAGTCATAGATCTCTAGGACCCAGTCGCCTGCTGCCTTCTCTCCCCAGCAGTGGGTGGTCATAAACTCCCAGTTCTTAAAACCCTCCATGGAGTGATCAAACAACCTGCACATTAAAAATACACACACACACACACAGAAATCACACAATGGTATCAGATGAGGAAACGACTGAAGTACTACCAGAGCAAACAAATCACAGCCACGCAACAAAATACAACTGCAGCCTCTGATGAGCTGTGGACAAACATTATAAAGGACTGTGGTTTAAATGAGGTTACGCTGTGGGGTCACTAAAAATTCTGGACTGGTTTGAAGGTGTGAGTTCACTTTTAGCAGCCCGACAGTTTAGCTGGACACTCAGCTTCTCAGTGTGACCCACACAAATGAAAATTCAAATATCATATCTGAGTACGTCCAGATCAACGCTGGGAAGAAAAACAAGAAGATTTAAATGAGCTGCAGCAGAAAGGAGAAGACCAAAAAATGCACAGAAAATAACGAGATGTGGCTCCTATCCTCAAGAGTGACGGAGTGTGAGACAAAAATGCAACAGAAATGTGACAGAGGAGCAAAGCAGGGTGTTTTTGTGTTGTTGTTTTTTTTACTACATTGTGTAGCACAACACATCACTGTTCTCTGTTTTCAGTGAAAATGTCTCTGCCAGTTTTAAAACTTGGCAGGATTATAAAATTCCTGCTCCAAGCTTGGCAACCCCTTCATGTTTAACTAGATAAAAATATATTTCATGCTTAAAATAGAAAATAATTCATTTGAGTAAATAACAATTTTTTTTTTTTTTGGTTGATTACAAATGGCAGGTTTGCTGGTTCACTACATTCAGTATCAAATTGCTTCAGCTTTTGAAGGGTTTTAGACAAATTTACCAAAATTACCATTTTTGGCATCATCTTAGCAAACAAGAGGGATTTATTTTAAGGCAAAAAAAATGCTTAGTTTAGTATTTAAACATTTTTTAAAATATTATTACAGAGGATGGGCTGCAAGGTGGCTCGGTGGTTAGCATCGTCACCTCGCAGCTACAAGATCCCCAGTTTGCGTCCCAGTTAGAGTGAGTGGGATCTTTTTTTGCATGTTCTCCCCGTGCAGCGTGGGTTCTCTCCGGGTTCGCCGGCTTCCTCCCACAAGGTCCAAAAACATGTTGAGGTTAATTGGTGATTCTAAATTGTCTGTAGGTGTGAATGTGAGTGTGCTTGGTTGTCTGTCTCTAAGTGTAGCCCTGTGATAGACTGGTGACCTGTCCAGGGAGTCAGCTGTGATAGGCTCCAGCTCCCCCGCGACCCTAGTGAGGATTAAGCGGTGTATAGATAATGGATGGATGGATTACAGAGGATGCTTAGAAATTAAGTTCTACAGACTGTCAGCAAAACTCCTCATCCCAGTATTCTGTTCATCTGTGACAACATACACAGTCAATATGAAAAATACAAAACACACACTCTAATCTCTTTCACTTTCAGGTTTACAGATATGTGTTGTAACTTCCAGACAAGCGCCTACAACTTCTCTGACTTGTGTACCTGTTGGCAAGCAGCTGAGACTTGGTCCCTGAGGGTGAAGTCAGGTTGATTGACAGGTCTCCACGGCGAGGGTGTGTGATGGTGATGCGTACGACCACGTGCTCCAGGTAGATCACGTGGTGGTTGGGGTTGTCGGTGCATCCTGTCGCCTTGTACACCGACCGGACCACGTGCTCTGGACGGATGGTTCTAGAGGATGGAAACCAAAACAAAGGTAAACATTAAATATCAAGCTAAAGCACTATTTGCCCAACTTATTCATGGGAGCACTGAGGGCTTTATCAGCTGAAGATAAAAATGATCTCATTGTCAATGGGCAATGAATCATAAAAGACATTTGAAATCTTTTCCAGTAACAAACACTAATTCCTGTAAGCCTGCCAGGCCACAGAAAGTTCACTCACAGCCAGCTTTTACTTACAAAAGCTGCAACTCCAAATGTATGGACACTGCTGGATGAACCAAAGATATTCAGCTGGTGTGTCCGTACAGTTTGCAATTAACACAGATGCAAGCAAAAATATAACATCATAGATATATAATCTGATTAAAAGCTTGCTGCTACAGATGAAAAGATAAGTTATACATCACTGCAGATTAGCTAGCTTCAGGAAATATATACTGGTTGGACAACACATTTCAAAGTGAATTTGTTGTGTCTTCAGAGCCGCTCTAACTGGGCAGAGCTCTCGTGTTTCCATTTCACAATTTCATCCACGGACTGGAATCATAGTTCAAGTAGATTAAAACTGGCCACGATCTTCACAACACATGATCGATGTGCTGAAAGTCACTCTGTATGAATATACACCTGTAGCCTCTCTGCTCTTTGAGTCTGGAGCCCGTCGACACAGAGACGTCCAGCTCTGTCAACTCTCGCCAGAAAGGCTGTTATTGACTGACAAAAGCATCAGTTTCCAATACGCCTAAAAGCAACCACGTGTGCTTCTCTTCCACTAAAATATTGCACCTCGACTTGCCAAAGAAACTAAGAACCTGAGCATGATAAGAAAGACAAAGAACATAATTTGTTCTGTCTGCTATGCACATCTCAGCGGCAGAAAGATGACCGGACTGCCAACAAAAACATCTAATGGCCCCTAGAATAACATCTGCAGTATGATCTAATATAATAGCAATACGGCACCAAAAACAAGGACAGGTCCAGAAGAGGGGACAATGAATACCATCTTGCCAGCAAAAAGACGTTGGAGAAAAAGAGTCATTCATTGCTGCAGCACAGCAGTCGCGTACGGAGCAGCTGAGCCAAGTGAACACATTAACTCACTGTAGTAACTGGATTACATGCAGGGTTTACTCACTGGAAACTAAAACAGAGCTGGTGAATTACACTTGCTGGCAAAAAAAATACCATATAAAAAAAATACTATGATATTTTATTTTGCAGGGTTGAGGGTTCGAAAGAAAATTACTGCCAGTAACTTGTGCTGTTTGATCTTGTATTGGAAACCATTTTTATTAGATTCCTTGTTGTCAGTGACATTTTTTAAGTTACGTGATACAGCGCAGATGTTTATCTTTGAGAGGAAAATTACAGGGAAGCAATTATCAGCTGCTATAGATTGTGGTCGCTCGTGTGAAAGATGATGGAAGAAAATAGTCCTCACACTTGGCTGAAGAATTAATTGAGACAAAGAGCAACACGGCAGATTGTTTGATTACAAAAAAATGTTCTGTTTTGCCATTCAGACCGTGTAATGCTGATCTACTGGTTATTAATTACTGCTAAAAGTATTAATTACTCTTATGAAAGGCCAAAATTAGCCATCAAGATGAAACTCATGAATTCCACTGAGGAATGTTGAATTAATTAGCGACATTGGTGCATTAAATGAATCCAGCTCATATCAATTAGATCAGTGAATTGGTATGAAAGGGACAATAGCGTTTTGTTATTCAAGCAGCACATTATGAGTTGTCCTTCCAGAATACAGAAAGGAAAACAATCTATTTTTTTTATTTTATTTTTTTATTTGTCCTCCATCTCTGATCATTTCCTATACTAGAAGGCTGACCGGCCAAGTGAGGAACTGAGCTACTATAAATAATTTACATCGAAACTACAGAAAACAGAAAAAACACAAACGAGCTCGAGCAGACTCGACGGAAAAAATACCAATCGTCTCTTTCGACGACTGTTTGGAAAGCGGTCAGCGGTAATGTCTGGGGAGTCCAGAGCTGATTTAACAGCTCTGGCTTCTCTGTGACACAGCACAGATAACTGAAGCATACGCCTGGGACCAAGAAGAACAGATGCACAGCTGATTACCACCAGCCTGATTGCACACAGATCATGCAGTTTTCCTGGTGCACACTCCAAGTGGAGTGGGGAGATCGACTGCAGACAGACATTACCAAACGCAGTCAGAGGGGCCAGCCAGAGGGTGTGTGGGAACACAGCAGCGAGGTGACGACAACGCTTATGTAGCAAAGTTACGCTGGAAGCACAGAACACGCATGCATACGGTGCACACGCCCTGCAAAGTGAAAGATGCCTCCAAAAACACAGTCGTTCTGCTTTGCTTGGTTTGTTCCCCCCCCTCGTCTCACAATCACGAGCAACAAACATGACATTACACACAAATTAACTCTCTGCTAAGTGTTTGGAAAAGAATGCTTAAAAAAAAAAAGAAAATTCAGTTTTGAGCCGTGTTGCACATAAAACTTTCATGACTGTTTCGCCTTCATCCCAAAAGCGAAATGAAACAAAGCCTTTTGTTTCCTGTCGATTGCCTACTTTCATTTGGCTGGATGAAAGTAGAACTCTCTTGAAGAACAACGCTATAATGCAATTTACATATCTCTAAGGCTGGTCATAAACACACAGCACATGGGGGGGAAAGGAGGCTAAAATGACGGGGCTGTGTTGTGTTTTTTTTTTTTTTTTCTCGTAACAACAACAGCGGTTATTTCTCCATTAGCCAACAGACGTTACACAAGTTTGGAGGCGTAAAGCACGACCGCCTCCGACACGAGCTAGACTTTACATAAGTCTCGTATGGGCTGACTTGTGCACAAGAGCAGAACAGACAGAATGACACTGATAATGCTGGCCACTGAGCCTTCGACTGAAAGCAAACCAGTTCAGGGCCCAAGTTCAGCCAGCCAGCCTAACACAGAACAGTGCTCAGGCTTCCAGCTGCATCAAGAATAACAAGCTGTGAAGCCCTGGCTCTCTCTATGTAACTAAGTGTGTGTGTGTGTGTGTGTGTGTGTGTGTGCGCGCATAGTAAAGGTCTTATGTGAGAACCACCCTGCCAGAACTAATGCTTGGCCCCTATCAAGGTACAGCTTGCACAACCGCACTCTCAAACACATGCCAGTGCAAAACACCAGAGACCGAAAAAAATAAGAAAGAAAAGAAAGACAGTACAACAAAAGAGAGAGTGGAACAGACGGAGGGGCTTTGGGTTCTAAGAGAGGCACACAAACCTATTCCCGTATTCATAATGCAACCATATTTTGTCAAACTAATTTATTGCATATCTGGACACTGGACAGGATTGGATTTCTTTATGTCAAACAAAGTAAGTCTACTACAGTGAAATGACCACAGCAGTGGACCTTCACAGTCACATCTCAGCCTGAATGCTTTTAATTTGAAGCATACAGTGATAGGTTGAGACAACAAAGTCCTTCTGGCTTTGCAGCAGCAGTTCGGACACAAGGTCATTTCTTTGTCAGGACCATGCAATGATTTGGAGAAGCTTGACATGCCTGCTCAGAGCCTTGACTGACCTCAGTTCTGTGGGACAAACCGGAATACCAACTACAAGACAGATCGACTTCATTAATGTGGCTGATGGGATCGAAACTCACAGCAGCCAGATTCCAAAAGCTGCTGCAAAGTCTTCCTTTCAGTGTGGAGGCTGGCATAGCAGCAGATTTGATGCACAAAGTTTTGAGATGCTAAGCAAACGGATCCAGGTGTAATGTCAGAATGTCCACATACTTTTGGTCATGTAGCGTACAGTGATGCTCTCTATCAGGCTTGAGGAAGAAGGATTTAGGGTCTAAATAGCGTTTGTGCTGGTGCATCAGTTCTACCTGATTTGTCGGTCAGCGCTCTCCACGCAGACGTGCTGAGCAGGGACTTGCTTCCATCGCTCCGCCTCCTTCACCATCGCCTCGGCGTCCATCAGGCCGAAGCCGTACAGGTGGCTGACTGCAGGAAACGGTGAAAAGTCACAGCTGATCAGATCTCCTCTGCTGAATCTACAGCTTCGCATACTAATGCTTTGTCAAAAACCGCCCAATTACAGCTCAGACTCCTAAACGAACTAACTCCAAACTCCTGAGAATAAGAAAGTCAGATTAGGTGACTTGGTGAAGTTTGAAGCCGTTAAAGGAATCCAATAACACCGTTGTCAGATTCCTAGAATTGTTATGTAGGTTATTACAGAGTCAGATTATTTCAACAAAAGCAAAACTTCAGAACACACTGTTGTTTTAACAGATATTTTGTCTCTTAAGTATACTATAAAAATACTGAGTTAGGTAATTGTTTCAAAAGGAAAAATAAAGTTTGCAAAGCACTCAACTTATGGGTTCAGCTAATCAAATATGAATTCCTTTCATACTTCCTCACCCCCCTCCCCTGTTCTGTCACTTGGAAAATCTCCAGGCACACTGGGCCTGCAGCCTGGCTGACCCTTAGTTCTCACTCTCTTGGTTTCTCTCCAGCACACACAGACACTCGCACACACACAAAGCAACACGCGCAGCACACGCACGAGCAACACATGCACACGCAGGTACGCGTTAAACACGCACTCCAAGTTACAAAATAGCACCCACCACACGGACCCTGACAGATGGCAGCTGGCGGCACAGTAGTTAAGAACGAAACATTTTTGGAAACTGTTCATCACCCCTCCGCTGACTGGAGAAAACTAATTAACTAGTGAAAATACTAAACGTTGATGTCTGTGTAGCCGCCCTGTTTTGTGTTCTTTCAAACAGACTAAATTCCACAGAGCACGCTAAATGCAACTGTTGCTTAATTGATGTGTTGCTAAAAAAAAAAAGTTTATCATCTACATGTTTCTGAGTTCAAACCGATTTTGAAGTAGTTCACAAACATTTTTGCATTTTTTTATTTGCTCATGACAATTACTATCATCTCCATCAGTTACAGAGACAGCTGAAAAACTAAGAAATTCTAGAAAGCGTTTTATGAAGCCTGATTAGCTCTAACTTGTATCGTTTTGTTTGTTTGTTTGTTTGCATGATTATTATTTTTTGGGATGGAATGAAAAACAGGCGTCCCAATTTAAGACAGCAAATCAAAAGCCAAAGACATCTCAAACAAAAGTCACACATCTAATTAGGATATTAGTCAACTTTGTAAAAGAGAAATTCAAATAAAGTTCAATCGAATATCAAAACATTATTTCAAAGACTTTTTTTTACTGAATATCAGTGTCCGCAAACAGGGCAAGTAAATCTCTACAGTGTTCTTCGTGCAGATTAGTTGACTTAATTAACTGATTAGTTGTATTGTGTGGTATCGCTGATAAGATGTGATGCACCAAACAGATCCGTGGGTGAGAAAAACAACTGCTGGAGGTGATCTGAAGTGACAGTGAAGTTTAATTTTATATTTTTACTAAGAAGGAAATGAAATGTGAGTTTTTCTGTTATGGTTTTTTGAGGGTTCATATCTACAGCAGCATTTGTAGCAACGTGTGTGTGTGTGTGTGTGTGTGTGTGTGTGTGTGTGTGTACCGTTGTAACCAGCAGCATTAGTCTTCCAGTCAGGAGCACTGAGATGTCCGGCTCTTGAGGTCTTTACAATGATGTGCTGAACATCCCTCCAGGTCAGAATAGGACTGGAGGTAAGAAAACACGAACAAACACAGAAATATATTAATTTATTCATCATAATGTAACAAAGAAAATGCGTAGGAGCCCATAACTGTGCAAGAACTAAAGAAATAAGTGACATGAAGACCTTCATTCTGTAATGAAACAGATATATGCATATATTTTGAATAACAGATATGTAAATCTGCACACATGCACTTACATAAATAGAAGGTTATGCAGGAATGATGATGCAGAGCAAGGGAAAGTTATTGAATAATTTATTGTGTTGTGAAAGGATGAGCAGAACATGGAGACATAAACCAAATGTCTACAAGGGGCAGAGCGGACATTAAGAAACAGAGAGATCTTCGTTACGGGAGTGAATTCAGACAACGGCACGGGGGCGGATAGCTGGATGAAAGAGGGACATTAAAAAAAAGTTTGGCGTTAAAGCCGAAGGAGATTAAAAACAAAGCACAAGGCGGGGCGAAAGAGGATGAAATGTAAAACAAGGTAAAGAAAACATGGCAACACAAAGTAGGTGGAAGATTACTGAGAGAGAAAATTACAGAGGACCAAGATGGAGAGCGTAGACGCTTGTTCGTCCGTCCCCAGTTGCTCAGATCTCACGTGAGATCCATTACGAGATGGCAGCCATGTGTCTCGACTGCTTTGATGTCCAAACGCTACATTAAAGGAAAAACCAGGAAGAAGTGGGTCACCAAGTTTCCTGGGATTCCCTTCCATCTCATATGCTGGCCAGATGCTCTGTTCCCTCCCTTCATGTCACTCCCTCGCCATCTAAAAACTACACAGTTTGCAATAAGTTTTCACCTTTTTTTTTGCAATTTTCGACATCGTTTTTTGCGAGAAACTGATGTATGGGGTGTTGATTACGACTGAACAAAGAAGGGTATTTTTATAAGGAACAAAGACTGAGGTGAACCAGACACATGGCATCAACTGACATTAACAGGCTGTTACACATGTCCAAAACTCACTAATGCTCTTAGTTGGGCCACACTTATCAAACCCTATTGTAGCACACAGACCAAACGGCTGAAAATAGAGTAAAGAATAATTAAAGGATGGCAGCGCAGATAAGTCCTACGAAAAGTCAGAATAATTAACGGTAAGATCAATATTAATAGGCTTAGCTGCCACTGTGTAATTACGGTTCCATAAATGTTTTATGGTCATTAATTAAAAGTGACTTTGGCATCGTTATATAGGCCATGACCGCCTTCCCATAAACAAGCCAATACTAATTAATGGAGTAGCTCACATACTGGGGGAAACCAGCAGCAAATCAGAAGTCTAATATAGGTTTCTTGGTGCTTCTCTCAAGTGTAATTATGGATGAAAACACAGGGGTAATCTGAAGAGAGAAAGCAACGAGTGAGGAGAAGGAGGCGAAAAGTCAAACGTTTTAACATTCCGTCGACATTTCACCTTAGTTCAGCCCAGCGATGGAAGATTACCCATGAAACTTTAATTTATAAATATTATCTTTCACTCTAAAATCTGCCTCTCTCGCTCGCATTTTGAGGCAGACAAACGGAGAAAGAGAGTTTAATTTTCGCCCATCTGTCCCTGTTTTGGTTTCTTAAAACCTCCCAGTAGATGAGGTTCATATGGCAGGTTGTTCATGCTCATTTCTTGTTTATCCCTCCTAAATTCCTCACTGAAGTCTTCTGTCTCCATGTTCACTCACTTTTCCATTTCTTCATTTCCAAGGACATAAGGAAACGGTAAAGAAGTAAAAGTTTCTGAAGCTGTAAAAAGCTGCTGCTCGCCGTGCTAAATCATGCGCTCGCTAAAACATCTTCTACGTGGTCACATCTACAGAGAACAGAGAATGGGACAGTTTTCTAAAAGTACCATTTTCCAATGTCCTCTCAGACCAAGAGAAAATGCCTGAGTTTAGTGAGGTCTAGTGTAATGGCATCCTGACGTGTTTATCGCAGAAAGTTTGCTCGACCTCATTCACCAGATAAGAGCAGATACGATCGGTTCTGCAGAGTTTGTCTAAACTGTTTCCCTCTTTCATCCTGTACTCTTTCCTACTGCATGTGCATGCATGCAAGAAACTGAATGAATGGACAGAAAAAAGAAAGAAAAGAAAGAAGAGTGTTTGCCTTGGAGGAGTAAAGGAAAAAAAAAGAAAGAAAAGCCCATCGTGACAGTGGTGGAGGCACAGCAAGGAGGAAGTGAGAGCCAGCAGAAGAGAAGAAAGCAGGCAGGCAAGAAAGAGTGTGTGATAATCTTGTTGAGGAAACAGGCTTATGTGCCCAGCACTGCCTGGAAACCGAGAATATTTTCTACAGGGAGGATTTGGATTGGATTATCCAGGTTAAACGAAGTGACCTCGGCTAACTGAGCTGCTCAACATGTGATGATGGGCCTAATTCAGAGTCCCTGCACCTGCACTACACTGTTTCCAATTCATGAATTTATCACAAATTAAGCCACTCAACAGGTTTCAACGACGAGCAGGCCAGCATCTGCTGTGCCTCATACAAAACGCAACCAGGGCTTTGAGAGGGCAAAACAGCACAGTGACAACAATTGGGGGGGGAAAACTGCTTTTAATATCTGTCTGTCTTACTTCTCTCACCTTGCTTTCATCATGGCCACCAGTTCCGTGTAGCAGAAACGTAACACATGAAAATCCAAGGCCCAGAAACGTCCTTATGCTTGTAGAAGAGAGCTTAAAATTGAGTAAAGTGCACCTATTCTGCCACTAAGACATCTTGAAACCAATATCTAAAATGTTTTTTAAGTTCCAAAGTAGCAGAAGTGTACACGTGACACATTTTTCTGCCAATGAAAAGGATATAAAGACAACTGCAATATATTACAATTTGTGCGTTTCTAAAAAGAACACCGTATTCCTAAATGGAAAAGTTTATCTGTAAGAACGCAGCTATTATGCATTCATACAATGGTATTACTCACTGCATTATATACAGCCTTCAGTTTTATTGACAGCTCAGATGGAACACTGTGTACCAAAGAAGAAAATATCCTTTTCTCAGCACGCACAGCTACATAAACACATGTGATCATCTGAACTTAAACAGCCATAAAAAGGCAGAAGGCTGAGCTGCCACAAAGCAGAACAGCTCAGAGTTCAAACATCTGCTGTAAAAAAAAAAAAAGAGAGAGAGAAACACAAAAGGTGTTTCACATTTGCTTCAGGATCCCAGTGCAAAGCGGTTATGACATCTGCACCGGTGTGTTCTTAATGTACCATAAGGGATTGTCTGGCAAAAGCCCAGACAAAGACAGGTTACAGTATGTACACACTGCAGCTATATATGGTGGCCACTTCACAATGGAGAGCGTAATCCTGTTAAAGGTCAAGTACAGTTCACCACTGAAGGAGGATGATGATGAAAATGCACAATCCAGAGACGTAGCTGAAACGCACAGGTAGCGAGTATCCATATGGATTGGAGGGTCTCAGCACATTTCTCAGCCTAGAAAGTCCAAATGCTGGTTTGTCATCGACACACCGTCCACTGCTGATGTTGGGTCCGGGTCTATCAATTAAACTTTGATTACTGCTTTCATAGAGTTTTCTACCACCTGCACCCGCATAAAGCTGCATAATATTTGTGATGAGCAAACGTGCTTTGGAAGAACAGTTCCCTATTTATGCAAACCTTTAACACAAGGTGTCTCTACCAGCTGGGTTGAGCTGCAAATGCAGAAGCAGTAAATGTGAATACATCACTGGATAGGTGCAGGTTAATTGCACCTATACTGAAATGATGGCTTTTAACCATTACGCAGAAAACAAGAAGCTGATCTGTGAATGCAGCAATGACCATGTATAGTTTTCTTGTCTCCTGTGTGTCTCTGCACAGCTGACTGACTGAGAAAAACAAAGATTGCTTTCCCAAGTAGTTAAATGCATCTCTACCGCTCACTCGGCAATGATGCATCTACGAAAAAATGCCTCCTGTGTTCCCGTAATAGACGAGTTCAGAGGTCAAGAGGGCATTAGAGGGTAAGCAAGGGGCAAAGGGATGAAGCGAAGGGAAGAGGTTAAGTGGATCTTACTTTGCCTCCAGGGCCAGAGCAATAATGGCAGCAGCCATGGGAGCCGAGGCCGATGTCCCTGTGTGACTGTCTGTACATCGATGTCTCAGGTCTGTCGTGATCTGTAGGTAGAAGAGAAGGAGAGAGAGTCAGAGGGGGGAGGAAAGAGTGATGCAGAGGAAACACGGGAATGGCGAAAGAGAAAAGAGGCAGCAACAAGACAGGAGAGGAGGAGGAGGAGGAGTCAACATCAAAGACGAAAGGGGAGAAGATAAGAAAGCAATGAGCGAACACACGACGGAAACGAAGAGGAGCGCCGTTACTGAGGAGGAAGGAGGGAAGCCGATAGTGACAGCGACGGCAGGACGAGAGGGAGAAAGAGACAGACAGACAGAGATTTAAGTCATGAGGATCAGAAGGATTTAGACACACCTGAAACTCCTAAAACTCACATTCCAGCTTTGATACGCTGCCTCGCTAGAGATAACACACACAGACGCTCACGCACAAGTACACAAATCACCAGCTTCCCCGAAGGAATCAATTCGGTGCTCAAGGAGAAACAAAGGACGCAGTGTAATAAGCGACGAGAGGTGGTAAAACGTGTTATTAAAGAGCTGTATGTTCGCTTTGATTGTATGGACTTTAATCAGCCAACTAGTCAGACAGCTTGACAGTCCGTCAGCCAAGAAAAGCTTGGCTAACTTCCAGCCTGAGCCCTCATCAAAGGACCTTTCCTGGACCAAAAAGTTTGAGGGATTATCTAAAGACACACACACACACACAGAGTCTGAAATGGTTTAGTAAGAAGCGAAAGTGGTCCAACAGCATTAGAGTAGACAGGACAGTATGTGTTCGAGTAGATAGGCTGACATGGAGATATATGAGGCTCTACTGCTAAGTGCACAAAGACGGAGAAGGAGACTTTAAAGAGTGTGTGTGTGTTTGAGTGTGTGTGTCCATCTGTAGCGTCAGTATGAGGAATGTAGCGAGACACTGCCAGACAAGTTAGCTCAAAGCGGCCAACTGTCACCGTCCATCCCAGTGGGTCATGGGAGCGATGTGGTCGATTTGAGTCAAACGAGGTCACGCCGCCGAGCCCGCCGCAAGAACGCACACGAGTTCTGTCATGCTGCACTTCTAACTGAAATTATATGCTGCATGTGCAAACTTACAGGAAGACATAACACCTGCATGGCTCTTTGGCTCGCATTCAAAGCTGGGAAAACTCCAAAATCTTTGCCCAAGTTGTATTTGCAGTGAGAAATCAGTGAGGAAGGCATAAGCCACTAGTACTCCTTTCAAGGACTAATACGCTTTAATGTCCATCCATCCATCCATTATCTATACACCGCTTAATCCTCACTAGGGTCGCGGGGGGCTGGAGCCGATCCCAGCTGACTTAGGGTGAAGGACAATTTGGAATCACCAATTAACCTCAACACGTTTTTGGACTGTGTGGGAGGAAGCCGGAGAACCCAGAGAGAACCCACGCTGCACTGGGGGAACATGCAAACTCCACGTAGAAAGATCCCAGCGACCTTCTTGCTGCGAGGCAACGGTGCTAACCACCGAGCCACCGTGCAGCCCTGAGCTAAACAGTGGTTCTGGAAATCCCCAATGCACACACACACACACTTCAATGCTTACAATCTTTCGGTCGTAGTTCTCGCCGCTGCTGTAGGTGGTGGTGAGCGTGGACGAGCATTCCTCCAGGTACCAGGGCTTGCGTCCGCTCTCGGCCGTGCTGGAGATGGAGATGGTGTAGATGGAGTTGGTGTAGCCGTCACAGGAGCAGTGGTCTCTGCTGCGCCCGCCGTTACCTGAAGCCCAGACAAAGATGGAGCCGCGGCCCTTCCTCCCCTGTGGGGAAAAACACGCACAGATGTTACATTAACAGGAGGCTTCAGGTTTATCTTAGAGGTAATTACTGCTCAACAGACTTTGTTTTGAATTCATTGTTGTTGCCTATCAGAATAAAAGTGATTCTGGGCTCTCTGTGCAGAAATAACCACATGAGGAAAGACAGATCTTTACCAGCAAGAGGAAAAAGTGCAGGAAAAGATCAGGAGGCCGCGAGTGTCTGGTAACTGATCTGATGCGACTTGATCCAAGTTCAGTAATCATAATGTTTTAATTGGCCAAAATCTATTGGATGTTTTCTTTCCCTAAAAAGCTGGCATCGCTGAGTGCCATGCTGAGTTGTTTTTAGGCTGGGAGAAGTGAATTTCTGCCTCTTGTCACGTCAGGGCAGCAGAGGAGTTCGTTTACTGCCTGACATCAGACTGTTGCTAGAACCAAATGAATGCTGTCATTTTCATTAGTAATATGCCAGCTACAAGACATTACTTAAAAAGATCCATGTTTTCATTGCATCATGTCTGCTGTCTGACTTCAGCTTTATCTTTTCCATTACTTTAACGGAATATATTTTATTTGTTGTAAAAAAAATATATATATTGCCGCGTGTGCTTGAAAGGCAGCATGCAGATAAACATCACCTACAGGAACTCCATCATTTTTAAACACTCTCTATCTCTCTTTAAACTTTATTTCACTTTGAAGCCATTTTCTAATCTTTAACTCCAATTTATTTGTTTGCTTCGTGTCGTGATGTTTTCTGTCTGCCTCCGCTGTTTTCTTCTCGAGGCAGGTACTCTGTGTTTCCCAGGTTCTAGTTTGTTTAATTGCCTTTTCTGCAGTCGTGCTGAGCACTTTTTATGTTTGTGACTTCACATTGAAAAGCTTATGCAAGCAACGGTATCATGTGTATTTGAAGAACAACAGAAAAGCATCAAAAGAACACAAGCAGCCAGCATTAGAACATACTTGTGCAAATCTGTGACAGGAAGCACAGCAGTGTGATGTGGTTTGTTATCATCAAGAAAGAGTTCACAGCTATTTAAGGTGCATGTTTTGGCTGAATAGTTCATCGATTTTAAACCAAAATGCAATTTGAAACAATGCAATTAGTGAATCACAAAGACTGCAATTTAGGATGTACAAGGTGTGACTATTAAATATTAAGAACAAGGAGTTTGTTTCTTTTGCACGTGGTTCAGGCTGCATGCTGTAGTTCCACTGACACAAGCACAGTCTTAGTGTTTCATAGCAACACTTCATGTCAATAGTTTTACAAATGGACGAGGTGTGTCAGAAAAGTTCCAGGACTGGTGTCACTAAAGATACATTTCAAATCCAAACTACAAACTACAAGTTTTCCCCTTCAGACAAGCACATCTACAAAGAGATCCTGCGGCGTTTGCTTCGTTCAAGAGGCGAGAGTTGTGGCAGGACGAGTCGTGGCTGTTTCGCCTGCTCACAACGCCCTGAGCATCCCACAGTTCCTGGCTGAGAAGAACATTGCTGTGCTGGAGCAACCTCCCTACTCACCCCACCTGGCTCTGTGGGATTTGTTCCTCTTCCCTAAGCTCAAGGGGGTCATCAAGGGGAAGAAGACGTGGACAAAATCAAGATGGCTGTGACAACTGAGCTGCAGAGAATCCCGGAAGAATCCTTCCAGGAGTGCATGGCGGTGTGGCAGAGAAGGCTGGGAAGGTGCGTTAGACTCCAGGGGGATTACTTCAAAGGGGAAAACTTGAAATATATCTTTTGTGACACCAGTCCTGGAACTCTTCTGACACACCTCATCTCCGTCCTCCTTGTGCTACAATCACACTTTTGATGGCGTCTTATGTGGTAATGCTCAATCAGGTTTTAAATCTGTTACACAGTGAACTTGGCTTTAAAAAAAATGACATTACAAATCTAATCACTACATCTGTCTGAAAATTGGCAGTTAGATATTTTCGCTGAATCGTTCAGCTCTACACTGCACACACGCTAGAGCTGAGGCACATGTGTAGCCAGGCAACGGTTTAATATTCAAATCTAACTTTTTGCTACATGATAAACTCGTCCCAGATGTACTCTGATGATCTTGGTAATTGAGAGGCTGGAGCTATTTAGGAATGAGCTCCACATTGACTCAAGTTGTGAATAAATGCAACAATTCATTCACTAGTAAAGCATTCAGTGCCAGTTGCCTTTCATTGGTGGCTACTTCAGTTAAAAATTCCGCTTCCAGATTTGGCCGACTTAAATATGATCTAAACCCTGGACCTGCCGGTGACGCACTGAGGCTGTCGCAGTGTCGCTGACGACTGACTGAGTTATGAAGGCAAAGTTCAGTCAGGAGTCAGCGAAAAAATACCTGACAAACTGACTGACATTGAGATCCACAGTGTTTGTCAGGACACACACTCAAACAACACACACGCACACACACACACACACACACACACACATATGAGGGAATAAAAAGGTAGAATGGGGTTCTTCAAAAGGGGGCTTCTGTCAGGCAGCGATAAGCGAGTGAAGCCCCTCCAAGTGAGAGGGGGGATCAGACAGGAGCAAACGCTGACAGATGAGAGTGATGGAGAGCAGTTTGAAGAGCAGTTAGCAAGAGAGGGAGGTGAGGGAGAGGTGAGACGCAACGCCAAACTGATCATCGGCGGTCATCGACAGGAGATCAAATGGGAATAAAGGAATATGCTGTGCACTTGTGATCGACTGATAGGCAGACAGGAGGACAGACAGACAGAAGAAGACCATGTCACTGTCGCAGATAAGCCCTGTTAAAGCCAAACATACAGCTGACTCTCTGCACCGCTGTCAGTCTCTAACACCTCAGCTCTCTGTGATAAACTGTCTTCTCAGGGTGTCACACAGCTACACGTTACACTCGCAAACATGCCACCTTCACTCAGCTTCACGCACACAGCAGCAGGTGGCCATGCAAGCACATCTCCCTGTCCAGCTCCTACCAGCTGGACAGGTATCAGCCTCACCTCTGTCGTCTTAAAAGGCCAACCTGTCAGGAGCAACAGGGACTCTCTTCTCTTCACACTCCCTACCTGTCTGTCCCTTTTCCCCCCCCCCGTTCTCTTTCTTTTCTCCTTTTCCTAACACACCTTTTGTTGTCAGTCTACCAGTTTTCAGTGTGAAACTTCAGAGGTCCCTGACCGCCACCACTGACTCTCCTCAACTCCCGTCACCTCCTCGAAGGTGCTTAACTAAATGACACACAGCCAGCTGTGACAAACTTTGTGAACGTGTGGACGTATCCTTGTGAGATGTAACCAGTAAATGGCTTCACCCCTCTTAACCTCCGTTATAGCTTTTCCACTCCACTCAGCCAACAGCACAGCAGCAGCTTGTCGTTATGCAAAATAATCTATGAATATGTAAATGAATGTATGCTAATAGACCGGGGCTGCTCTCTAATGTCCGCAGGAGCTTCACAGGTACAGACCGTCGCAGAGGAGTTTGGGATATGAGTATATTAGTGTGAAACACACATCTGCGTGGAGTGGCCGTTTGTGTTTCTATCTTTTCTTGCCACGTGAATACTAATGTCAAAGTCTTGGCTGAGGAATAAAGCACATGTTTGTTTTTTTACACGTTTCTGTATGTAAATGTGTATGCATGTGTACGTGCGCCCACCGTGCGGATGCCGTTCTCAAAGGCCTGCCTGGCCAGAGATGCTGGTCCATCCACAGTCTTTCCATCATCATCAGGTCCCCAGCTGGCACTGTAGATGTCAATGTGCTGCGGGTGGAGGCTCAGAGACCGGGCCTCCACCATGTCTGTTACATCTCCATCCAGCATTCGCACACCTGATTAATAAACAAGCACAGAAATAATGTATGCAAAGAAAACTAAGCTTTAATCTGTCTCCAAGGTATTCCCACAGATTCAGCCCGTGGAACTCCTCCTGTCATAATTAGTGTAATAAATTAAAAACAGGCCGGTGAACCAGCAGATCAGCCATTAAGCGTTTCCATGTCAGTCACACATAATACATCAATATTAATTCAATCAGCTAAGAAAACAGAGAAAATGTGTTATTTCTATTTTACTCTCTGAACCACAAAACCTACTGGACAGTCTGAAAGGTATGCTGTCTTAAAAATCACCCAAATTACACTATTCATCAGAAATAATTAAAAAAGAAATGGCCAACAAGATTTTGTAAAAAACAAAATAAAGGAAGAAAGAAACAGTTGCACTACAAAAATTCAGGGACTTTTCAGGTGAACTTCAGGCAGTGTGTAAATAGAACAGATAGGAATAGAATACTTAATCAATATTGAATTAAAAATATCTATAGTACGTAGAAGCATCTTCTTTTTTTTTTTTAGTATTTGTAAGACCTGTGTAGTTTTTTTTTTTTAAATGATTCATGATATTATATAGCTAATAGTTCTCTTTACTGCAGCCATGGTTGTGTTTTTTCCTTTAGGGGGGCAGGATTTTCTGCTGTGGCAAACAATAAATCCACATTGAGCACAAACGTGACCAGAAACTGTTTGAGGATCAGTGGGTTAATGTGTACATTTGTGCAACAAAATCCTGGAAAATCTAATCAGATCATCTGGTCTACAGTTGAATCACTAAAGCTTCTAACACATTTTAGCTCTGTGGATGCTAAGAATGTACACGTGGATATGTGGTCTAGACATGATCGATCAGTAAACACATGGGCAAAGCTTAACACAGTTCATTTTAGTTAGCTGGCTGGTTAATTCTGCACAATGACAATCAGCAAAGCATTAACACCAGAACAGACAAATGTTCAGTGATGGCAGGTTGTAGCCTTTGTAGCATCCTTTCAGACTCTGTCAGTAGGCTTTCACATGCATTAGTGGGTAACAAGCCTTAATTACACTAACATACAAATAATTATAACACAAGCCTCTGCTGAATAAACAGAAACATGATAAAAAAAATAAAAAAAAGATTGATAAATACCTCCTATTCTGGCATTGTAGGCAATTCCCACAATGCAGTGGGAGTTGTTTGCAGCTGCAGCGACTTCACCCGCACATCGTGTTCCATGTCTGAGGAAAGAGCGGGAATGAGCACTTTATTATATAAATCTAAACACATACACACCACGTATCCGAACTGAAGAACGTCACAGGCAAGGTTAATCTAAGGAAATGTATACACAACTAAGAGAGTTCACACAAACTACTCCACAAACACGCAGATTTTCAAGTGGAATGAACGGACACTCGCACGTAAACACACGTTTTCACTGACAAACATGTACGTTCTCCTTAAAGTAATCATAAACAAAACGCTTAAAGTCTCATAAGTGTTACAAATGAAGCAAACGCCATAAATATTTTTTCTACAATTCTTGATTCTTCCTAATAGCCTTGACAGAGAATGAAAGAGAAAGTAGTTTAACATTTCTAACACTGTCAGGATGTTTGGTGGTCATCAGTGCCAATATTCTCCAAATGTACAAACACACACATGTAGGGATGCAGTTTGGTCCTTTTTTTTTTTTCATAACTCCTGAGGGCAGCATGCAAGCAATGTGCTCCCCAACACTGACAGCTGAAGCAGTGTTGAACAGTGACAAAACCACACTACTAACACTTCTACAACAATTAAAAATACGCACACACACACACACACACCAGGGTAACATTCCACCAGTAACTGCAGTGGTGACAATCGGCCCGGGTCAGCGACCAGCGTAAACAAACATCGTGTGTTTGCGTCCGCCGCCTGCTCAAAAACACCACTCTCTGGATCGGCACAAGCACACTCACACACACACGCACCTCACGCAGAGAACATCTGCATCACAACACCCCCCCGGAAACAGCTATGACCGCTGCCATGGAAACCCAGCATCTAGCTATCGAAACCTCCTCCACCCCCCTCCCGGGAAAGAGACGGGGAAGTTTCAGAGTCCAGGGAAGCACTCGAGACTTAGGAAAATCCGTTTCACAGTAACCTGATGATCTCAAGTTAACGTGATTACAGGCCAGAAAAAATATTCAGGCATCACTGTCCTCACTTTGTTGAGGTGCTTACTCCAACATCGGTGCTTTCTACTATTAAATTAAATTAAAAACACAAACCTGTACTGTCTGCATGTCTTTAAGTCGATTTTACATTCACATCAAGTCTAGAGATAAGAGGCATAAACATCATTTGCACAGACGTGGAGACCTTCCTGTAGTCCTCTGTAGATTTGCAAAGACCTCACAAGTTTATAGAGAAGTTGACGCAGATGAAACTGCGAGGGTTAAAGATAACATATTAAATGGCGGCAAATCAGTGATGGGCCCCTTTATCACAGTTAATGAGCCAAACTGCTGGCTCGCTCGTTCAAAATGCTTCAACAGTCTCCACTCAGTTCACTTCACTCCAGCAATCCATAAAATCGTCTGCCTGGCCGTCTTTCCAGCCTTTGTGTTTGCCTGTATTTTCCATTTTCTGCACATCTGTGTCACAGTCTCTCAGGGATCTCTCTGTTCAACCAGAACCATGCAGCGGATAATAGGGAACAATTCAAATGCAGATACTCTTCAACTTTTTTTAAAGTTTCAGAAGGACACAGTCACTTGGACCCACATTTAACTCTCTGTGGTTTGCTTTTATTTTTTAATTTTTGGAGTGTTTTGACTGTGCTTGAGCAACTAAAGTATATTTGTTCATTCTTTGTGAATCCAGCTTAATACATTTTTTTTAAAATCACATTTGTATTTACTTTGATGGAGGTTTTGAGGTTTAAACATACCAAGGCTCTGGAGGATTTTTATAGCGGCATAGACCCAGATCTATTCCTAAAAAATACTAATAAAATACTTAATGTTACAAAGCGGTAACTGTGACAGTTAGGAGATGGTCATCGTGTGTTTGCAAGACAATGAAGAACATTTGTGGGTTTTTTCTAATGTCACACAAATCCACATCTGCATCTGTAAATATGCTGGCAGGCTTGAAAAGCATGTTGTCTCTAAAAAAGATTGATAAAATCACACATTTATCAAAGCAAGACAAAAGTTAAATATCCAGCTTTCTGGCTTTCCTTCAACTAGTCATCTGTGACGTGCCGACCCATCAGAAAATTGTGATATTTAGTCAAAATCAATCAAAAAGTTTTGTTTAAAAAATTCAACTAAAATAAACCATTTGCATTAACCAGGGTCGCCAAAAAAAGCAAAACATTTCTGGACTCCAATGCAATGGAAAAGAATTAGATGTGACCCACAGTAGTTAAAAAACGTCGAAGACCTTTTGGCTGAGCTGCTGGCCGTGCAGGTACATGATAAATATAATAATATAAGTAGTAAAATATCCACCGTATGTAGATATGTCAATATACTGGTAACACAGGAGGGCACTTTAAAAATGAACATACTGATTGTAGTTTTTTGCAATTTTTGTAAAATAACTAATCAAATCTTTTTCTAGGATTTCTGGTATTAATATTGTACACCATGGGCTGCAAGGTGAGGCAGTGGTTAGCACCATTGCCTCACAGCTAGAAGGTCACCGGTTCGCGAGTTTGCATGTTCTCCCCATGCAGCGTGGGTTCTCTCCGGGTTCTCCGGCTTCCTCCCATAGTCCAAAAATGTTGAGGTTAATTGGTGATTCTAAATTGTCCGTAGGTGTGAATGTGAGTGTGCTTGGTTGTCTGTCTCTAAGTGTAGTCCTGTGATAGACTGGTGACCTGTCCAGGGTGTCCTAAGTCAGCTGGGATAGGCTCCAGCCCCTTGTGACCCTAGTGAGGATTAAGCAGTGTATAGATAATGGATGGATGGATGTTGTACCATGCTGCACGAAAAACACAAGTTCCCTCTAGCCAAGGTTGTGCTTTTTCTATAGCGGTGCAGGACTTTATATTGCAGTAAAAAACGAGCCCGCAGTGAGAAAAAAATGTGAGGCGCAGAAACCACTTGGGGTTTAGAGGGTTAAACAGCAAACAGCCAAACTAAAACCAATCTAACATGACAAACAAAATCACAGAACTGTCAGAAATTTCAGGAATAAAGGACATCAGACTCAGAGATAACAGGATTTTCCCAGATTTGTCTCGTCACAATCGATGATCTGTGGACAGCGTTTAGAAGTCAGCACACACAGTAGAAGTTCACTGTAAAAGATGACGGTGCATCCAAATGTGTTACTTTAGAGAACTGTATAGGAGATTGATGCAGTGATAACATATTTGCTCTTTTCCTCTCCCGCTTACCTTCAAAGCGCAGCTGTTAGCGCCGCTTGTACACACAGACAACAGATTTAAATCCACAAGCATTACATCATTCTCGTTGCTATACAACACAAAGTCTGACAACAATCTGCAGTTTGCCAGATGTAGCTAAAGTTCACTTATTCCTCACAAATCCAACAGACTATGTGCTTCTTGCCCTTCAGGCACGGTGACCAGTTTTAACTTGCCGGGAACCTCACGTCAACTTTTCACATTCATTCAGCTTCCATTGAAGATGTGACCGCCATGATAATCTCTAGTTTTTAAAAGATTGCAAAGAGGACAGGAGAGGAAAAAGTTCAAAAGTACACCATAATTCTGTCCACAAACATAACATCACAGACAACAGTGGTTTCAACCCTAAAAGGAAACCAGCTCATTAAGCTGCATCTGTAGGCCTCATGTCTCTTTAAGACAATACGTTACCAGCAGGGACTGAGCCGCTGCCACCACACTTGGGCTGCTGCAGCCAAACACACACACACACACACACACACACAAGCAAAAATCACTCACGAAGCCAAAGCCAAACTGGCACAAGACAAGTTCACGGACAAGCGAGTTTCTTTTATTCCTCTCACACACATACACACAAACACACATGAGGTCTCCCAAACAGAAAAACCACAACCCACCCACAAATGTCACAATCACATTCACTAATGTAGCTCATCGCACCCACAACAAAGTCAGGACTCCGCAAATACAAACATATTGAAGCACAGAGCTTCTGGTAAAATCAATCAGACAAACACTGAGATGCCGAGAAGCGTTTGGCAAATGTAACAACAGAACACTGAAGCCACACGCTTACTTTTACCTGAACCCTATTTTAACGGCTAAAACTATGTTGTCCCTCTTGTTTGTGGGATAGATATTGTTTTCTTACTTGTTTTCGTTGGTTGCGTCATATCGAGGCATGGGATCCACATCATTGCTGTTTACATCATAGCTGGCTTGAGGGTCCTGGAGGAGACAAGGAGGTCAAAACATGTATACCAAACATAAAAACAACTGCTGAGTATATGACTTGAATATAGACAGTATACAGATAAATGTATTAAAAAAAACACACATTATCAGTGTATGTGTGATACAACTAACTTGTAGAACACCGAAAAAGCTTCTATAACCCAGTCAAACAGTTCACATGAGCATCACTTGCAACAGTTTTGCAAATCGAATGCAATCAGAGCTAACCCAATCTGCCGCGCCACTCGCCCCTCGGCATCAACAAATCCAGGCATTAAGAGTAGCTAATAACAGCAGCGCAGGCCCTGTCAAACAGGGTGTGAATCATTTTATCTGCACACTTGATTGATGGCCTTACCTGCTGCCTCAGGCTGAAAAGTTATTCTAACTATCTGGCCTTGGTCTGAGGTAGACATACTTTAGCATGCTCATAAAGTATGTAACCACAAACAAATAAACATGTACACACAGCATACCTGCACACCCACAAGTCTGGAGGAAGCATCCCTCCAAAATGTCATCCATGACGCATGACTATCTGATCCAAACTACACCCAGTACTGTAATCAAGTTGATCCCTATAATAATAGTTATGTGGATTAAAAAAAAAGGACATTAGCTTCTAACACAATCCAGTGTTTCCTCTACATTCATTTAGGAGCGGCGGGCCGTCATTCCTAAATCCTCGCTGCCGCTCCTTCAAATTTCTTTCTTTTTTTTTATTGTCGCAAATACACCACCGCCACATATCTCCACCTTCACAGCAGAGTCCTGCACTGGACTGGGTGCTTGCAACTACTACAGTAAACTACAGATAAGTATCTTGCTCAGCCTCTGCTCTCTGGGGGGTTAATACAACGTTAATTGCTCGTGAGAGCGTGGCCTTGAAAGTGACGCTGTTTATTCCGCTCATAGAAAAGACATAAGAAATGACTCGGTTTCATCTTGGACAAATCTGACAATAGAACGCCCTAGTTTACTCTTTTTAAAGTCATCTTTGGTCGCAAGCCGGTCTGAGCACCGCGGCCACCAACAGGAGTGAGCGTAGCCCACTATGTGGGGCGTTCAGGGAACATCGTAAATTGTAGAGTCTATTGATAAGAAAATGTTCAGCTGGTCATATGTTTTGCCTGTGGGTGCGAACATCCCCAAATTCTGATGCTGCCACCACCATGCTTCACAGTGGGGATTTTGTGTTTGTCATAATGTGCAGTGTCTGATGTCTGTCAAACATAGTGTCTCGTCTGATGACCGAAAAGCTTAATTTTGGTCTCATCAGAACATGTGTGTTAATCCATCCAATCCATCTCATTTCTTCATTTTCTTATTGATGGATTTACCTAAACCCCAGGAATATTCAGTGTTTTGGAGACTTTCTTGTATCCAACTCCTGACTTGTGCTTCTCCATAAACGTTTTAGAAAGTTGCTTAGTGTCCATTTGTCTTTACGGTGTAGTTAAATCCAGGAGGACTAATTCACCAGTGACTGGATCTTCCAGATGCAGGTGTCATTATACTACATTTGAGACACTTAGATGACCTCCACTTCACTGATTTTGTGACTTGGTAGTGCCAACTGGCTGCACCTGTGTAGAATTAAGTGAGTCACTTCAAAGAGGTGGATAATTATGCGAACACGTCTTCTACATTTTATATTTTTAATGGACAATAATTTGGACAAAATCTGTTTTTATTTTAACATGAGCTTTTTTTTTTTTTTTTTAAATGTTAGTCAAAAAAGCCTGAGTAAATTCATCGCAAATTGATATAGAAAAAGCAATAAAAAGGAAAAACTACCAAGGAGTTGCATACCTTTTCATAGGCACCGCATACACACTCCAAGTCTTATACCTCCCCAGACCTCATGCACATTCAAAACTTAACACTGACTTCCCTGATGACTAATCACCCGACGTGCACACACACACACACACACTGCCGCTCATAGCCGCCCTACACGCAGCATACATACACACTCACGTAGTTCTGAAAGAGGTCCGGATGGTTCCTCTCGATGCCGTCATCCAGTATGGTCACCACCACGTCTTTACCCGTGTAGCCCCTCTTCCACGCCCCCATGATGTTCATATCCGACTGGCAATTATGGACATCATCATTACAGTGCTGGAGAGATGGAAGCAGATGGTGAGGGGAGAGCAGGTGGAAGGAAAAGGAAAAACATATGAGGTAGGGGTTAGTGAAATCCATCAGGCTTTTGCAGATGTACAACTTGACTTTTTCTGCACATACAGCAAGAAGGAGCATTATCACATATACACGGGCACAATCTGACATAAACAAGTCCAAACAAGTTCAAGTTTGTCAGTTTTCACAAACCATTATAAAATCATCACAGAAAAATTTACTTAAGCTTATTATGCCAGGTTTGGACAACAATATATGAGACAATAAGAGAGAGACTGAGTCAGAATAGGTGATTATAAAGTAGGGATGAGTCAAATATTAGCCTGATCGAATTGTGGATCCAAAATTCTGCATTTTTCAAACCATCGTTATGTTTTTTAACAGATTGCCAACAAGCTCCTCTGGCTGTGATGCAGCCGCTTCTCTCCGTCTGTCGTCAGTCTGTGGGCTCGAAACATGTCCCATCTACAGCACTAATGTGATTGGATGCCTGTCACAGGTAACAGCCTATCAGCACTGATGAATAAACAAGGAAAAGTTCTCTTTTATTCAAACACAATGCAAAGATAAATTTAAAAAAAGGCATTTTAATAAAGATTTGTGTGGAGATCGTGCTATTATTAATTTTTAAGATTTTAATTTTTACTGCAAATGTATCATTTTTAATGATCAGTCAACCCATACTACAGATTTAAAACGTCTTGCTGTGACTCGGCTGCAGCATGTTACAGACTACACACTGGACTGTATCACACGGTAATACCGGTGTAACACTGGTGTAATGTTAGGGGACGATATGAAGTTGAAGGATCGCGATAAAATTTGAGTGAAATGCGCAGTGCTGTTGTTTTCATCCGGTCTAATGCACATGGAGCGAGAAGCATGGCGGCGACCGAGGAGGAGGGCGAATGCAGTGCTTTGACCGACACAGTAGGGCTGGACACGAACATCGGAATATTCGGTCATTTTGATGGTGTCCACATAGCAACTTTGAGATCTGAACATGCACCCGCCACCCGCCGCCATCACCCAACGGTGTAAACAGAACTGTGACAGCTATCCTAAACTGGCATTAGCAGCCAAGTACTGCCTGTGCGTCCCGCCCACTTCCACCCTGTCGGTCCGAATATTCACCCGCTGCTACACCCGCCCCATGCAATTTACAACTTATGCACTATTTTATTATTTGCACCAATAAAGTTGGGCAATTTTGAAGTATTTTGTCTGGCGTCAATTATACCGTCACATATATCGTTATTGCAAATTTCCTCATTTATATTGTGATAAATATTTTTGGCTGTACCACTCTGCCCTACACCGGACACTTATCAGTTATTGCCTGCCATTGTTGTTGCCATCAGAAAATGTGCCAAGGAGCAACAACCGGAAACAAGAATATAAACAAATCACTATCATAAACAGTTCTTCAGCCTATCTTTCACTTCCATGTTTTGTGTGGAAGGGTGTCCTGTTGTGACACGATGGGAAGGGACGGGAAAAATTCTGACTTGATTATGTTATTGTCAAGATGTCATGAGGCGTCCCAGATTCAGCATCGGTTGTCAAGTATGACACAACAGGATAAACTATCAGTTGTCAAACGTTCAGTATTGGTTGAGACTGCTTGCATCCTTCAGTTGAGGCTATTTTTGTGTAAATACCGTCAAGTCTGGACCACATGTTTCACTATTCAAATAAAGAGACAAATTTGAATCAACTATGCTACTGAAAATACCAAACTGTCCAGTACTGATAAAAAGGCAAAAGACTACAATGAGATCAAATTCCTTTTGACCTTCTGACCTCCTGAGGACCATAAACTGCTCTTTATCAGATGAACGTCAGCCAGTAACAACACATATAAACTTGATTTATGATAACGCATTTATTGATTGAAGCTGATCTGTTTGTGTTATCGAGTGTATGATTAACCCTCTGAACAACAACAAGCGGTTTCGGTTTATGTCACGTTTTTATTCACAACCCCAACTCAACTCAAAAATGTCGTCTGTGCGGTATGACGGTTATAATGCCATAAATCATAAAAACTGAAAGAATGACAGTTAAATTACTTAGGTTTTTTATTTGCTGTCTGAAGTGAAAATTGACAATCGTGAGAGGAATGTGGTAAAAATCTACGATCGGCAATCCAGAAAATGAAACTGTAAGACAGACAGGACGACTTGAAGCTTGAACGACCAACGGCAACATTTAAGAGTCGCGGTGAAACAGTCAACTAGAATATATGCATTTTATGAATGACGCTGAATGGAAACCAAAAGAATAAATGAAGAAGGATTAAAAAAACTAAACATTGTGGATCAAAATATTCAAAACAAACATGTGATCGGAGCTGATGACGTGCCTCTGCTTTACTACTTTCTACCGAGACTGTAGCGCAACAATTCACCAGGCGTTCATCGCACACTGACGGCCTCAACAGACTGTCAGTCTGACAACAGATTGAGGCCAAGATTTTATCAAAGCCATCTCGCACAGTGTGACGTGTAATAGAGTTACAGGATCGCTGTTGTCACACAATCTAAAGGCGCCTGAAGTCTGATGTCTTTACCTACAAATATTATTTAAATGCACCAAATAGACCACAAGCTGTTATTAGTTTGCATTTCAAAGTGACATTTATATCTGTAATTGTCAACCCAACACACACTGTATCGCTGACTTTATGTTAATTTTCAGAGACATTTTAATATGGATGGAAACTCACTAAAATGCAAGTTAATCTGATAAATTTGTAGGTAACTTTAAAGTGATTACAGTTTGAAAATGATAGTCACGTCTAAATTACTTGTACCAATATTTTTCTTATTGAATATGCAAGGTGGAGCGGTGGTTAGCACCGTTGCCTCGCAGCTAGAAGGTCGCCAGTTCGCATCCCAGTGAGGACACCCGGGATCTTTGTGTGTGGAGTTTGCATGTTCTCCCCGTGCAGCATGGGTTCTCTCCGGGTTCTCTGGCTTCCTCCCACACAGTTGAGGTTAATTGGTGATTCTAAATTGTCCATAGATGTGAATGTGAGTGTGCTTGGTTGTCTGTCTCTAAGTGTAGCCCTGTGATAGACTGGTGACCTGTCCAGGGTGCCCCCTGCCTTCACCCTGAGTCAGCTGGGATAGACTCCAGCTCCCCCACGACCCTAGTGAGGATTCAGCGGTGTATAGATGATGGATGAATATAATACAAGGTGTGCTCTTGAATAAGTCCCCATACTTTTGACTTCATGCGGAATATACAGCTAGACTGACAGAGCTTTCAATGTTTAAACTACAGCCCAGATCTGGCAACTCTGGACAGGTTTGACCGGAGGAAGCTTTTATCTAAACCTAAAAAAAACACAAACACCAAGTTCAGAGCCCTATAAGTAAGTGACCATTTACCAGAGTTCCATCCTAACGCTTGAAAAATATAAAATCCCCTGGTCAAAGTATCAGAATTTATCTCCACTTAGTCATTAATTGACAGAGCAGAGGACACTGAGACACACACACACATCCACGTGAAAGAGCAATGATCTGAGCGTGTACGTAAACATGTGTGATAAGCCTGCAAATCTGTGTGCATGCCCAGCAGAGCAGAGAAACGATTTTCAAAATGTGAAAACTTCTACTTCTCTGTGGACATTCCTCTGACAGACATTTATGGGGGGAAAAAAAAGCACAGAAAATCCTAAATTGTTTCATTTTGAATGCAGGTAAGTCAAAAATGTTCTCACTATAAACCTCTCTTCTTTAATTCAGTAAAGTCCACACACACACATACGGATAAATCCCTAAGCTCCACTGAACCTGCAGTAATCAGAACCATGCCACGACCTCAGCCAACCTTTGACCCACAAACTGGATAAATGTGGGCAAACAACTGCCTTTGAGGAGAACAGACAAGAGCATAGCGCAGACTTGACTCACTGGCTCTGCGTGCTTCAGAACTTGGGATGTTTTTGTTGTGGTGCGGTGGACATGCGAACAGAGAGGGATTTCGATGCACAGCGTACTTACAATGTACCACATACTGCTCCACTTGGCGTCATTATAGAATATGTTGTTTTGGGCCGGGCTGCTCTGGGCGGGGCTGGACAGGGAAAGGGGCGGGGCTGGTTTGTAATCCCTCTTGATCCTCCTCTTCACCACCTGCTGTTGTATCCACTCCACCTGAACTCACACACAAACAGACAAGAGATAGGGGAAACTGAGGAGGCTTCAAAAAAAAAAAAAATCACACATAGCAGCAGAGTTCACAGAATTTCATCAATAAAAAAGTGCATATGTAGCGTCTCTGTTTCTTCTTCTTTGCCTTATGTGATGCACTAGGACAAACAGAGATACAAACCACCTCCAGAGAATATATGTGACTAGTATACCGTCGTGCCCGACCAACCAAGACAGAGAAAACATTAGACAGCAGCAGAGGAGAATTGATTTTCTTTATGTGTGAGTCATGAGACTAGATGACATTTTCTTAGTGTAGACAGAGACACTGCCCAGAGGAACATTTTTTTGTTTTATTAAGGGGGTAAAGGTGTCAGCGCTCAGCCGTGAGGCAATTTCAAGCTTATGGATTGTCTATAAATGCATGTAACGAAGCTTTGTGTGATCTCCACATTTAAATATGGCAAAAGGTTAAAAAAAAAAACAAACAAACTACTGATTAAAACAAGCTGCTGAGAGAAACCACAGCACATAAAGTACCCGTGGAAGCGTAGATTCAAGAAGCATCAGAAAAATACAGATTTATTATTTATAAGTCACCTTTTTAGCCATGTAAATGTTACCCTTTATGCCTTTAGCCTACAAGAGTTTTGCTGTGAATAAATCAGTGCATATCTCCCTGTCTGCAAAATAGACAGACTAACACACACACACACACACACACACACACACACACACACATATGCACCGAAGACTTGTATGTCTCTCAGGTAACATCAATCTCTCAAATGTTATGGGCTCGCTTCAAGGCGCAAGGCATTCCTTGGCAGGAATCTCGCCCCGCTCTCCTTCAGACGGAATTTTCCGATTTCAAAATCAGCATTGTTGGATCCGAACAGGACGGCTGGACCCACTTGCTTGGACCTGGTCAACTCTTTTTAAAACCTTAAAGTCTTATGTTTAGTCTAGCAGACTTCATTCGTCTAAAAAGACTCCATCAGAGGTTTACATGTACCAACGATGACAACACAGAAAGTGAAATATTAGCGAGTGTGAGGCTGGTACAACACATGAGGGAGAGAGCGCAAGTGTAGATCTGAATGAAAGATAGAAATATTTCTGTAATAAATGATTTATGGATTTTTCAGACCATGGTTGCACCTAAACTTGATTGTTCACTCTGCCGATATGAGGATTTTTGCATTGCATGTTCAGATGAAATGTTGTGGAGCTACTGCTTATTTGTACAGCACTTGGACTATGCAATCCCTCTGCGACGCTCCCCGCGCCGTCTTCTGTGAACTAAAAGCCGTATGCACGAAGTACAGACAAAGAAACTCTAGTCATAGCAGATAATCATTACAATAATTTTCACACCGCAAAAGTGTTTTTGTTTTGTTGCCCAGTTTGCCAGTTCCAGGGGCTTTAGGGAACAATGTCCAACTGTAAGGACAAAGCATTTCTCCACATCAATACGGCTCCAGCAGACAGAGAGGAGAAGAGAGAAAAAAAAAAGAGAATAGCTGACATAATGACTGCAGAGTGATTATCTGGTCTCATGCACTGAAACAATCTGCCAGGCTCTCCGGAGAGTTGGAGAGCGAGGCAACAAGACAAGATAAGACGAGAGGAGAGGCGATAAAGAGCTGAAGAGAACGAGTCCCAGGAGAGTCAATAAAAAAAGACCGAGCTGGAAGGGGAGGGAAGTGAAAACAAATAGCGAGAGAGACCAAAAGGCAGCAAGTGAAGGGAGGATAATTGATTTTATAAATAACATCGATTTAATAACTCAAGTATGTAGCCCTATATAGATTGCAAACGAGGGAGAGGGAAAAAAAAAACGATTGAGTAGGTGACGTCATTTAATAACTGTGCAGAACTCCCCTTTTAAGAGAGCAAGATTGGGGAGAAAAAAAAAAGAAAATAGCAAAGCAGGGCAGAGAGAAAGATAAAGAGTCTAAACCCCATGAGAGATTTGGTTTTAGCCTGATGCTCCTCCCGTCTGCCAGGGTCTCAGCTCATTTCACTCCAACTTCTATCAGGACCATCAGCTTCAAAGCAACCGTTTACACACGCCATTAGCCGCAAAACAACACTGTCATCAGGAATTGTACGAGAGTGTCTGCGCAAAACCACTGGTGTGTCATTACAATTTGCATGCATTAGCATAGCATCAACCACAATCTTTGATCAGCAGTGTAACTCCTAACCGCTCTTGTCCGCAACTTGGTTATTCCAAGGAGGCCCGATGATGAATGAATCACTGCGTCTCACGTCGCCACAAATCCTCTGACACTGCCGTAAATTTTTCTACAGACCGACAAGACAAAGACTTCACCAAGAGAAAAAAAAAATATGTTGCTTAAGTGTTCACGTCTGATGTCTTGGACTCACAAATTAAAATATTGTGTTTCTTTTACTTTACAAATTAACGAAAGACTCTCACATCATTTCATAAAGCGTTTTAAATGATGTTTAAAACATTGCAAAGATGGTTTGTTTCACCAAGATTGACTGTGGGGGTTATAAGTGTGTGAGACCACAGTGTTGTACCACGAAGCAGGCTTAATGGGTTGGTAAGGTTATGTTGAGCCTAAAGTCAGAGTTTCTAGTGTCATGAAGGGGACTCTCTTTCACTTTGTTAGATCACCATGGCAACTGATACTGCACAGCGAAGGTTCTGTTCAGAGTTTCAGATTTAAATCAGGTGTAAGAAGCGTCTTCCTTTAATTTGTGTCCTGTAATGCCACGGGAACCTACACGCATTCAGCTGATGATGCAGGACAGGCATCCTGATCTGCTGCCGAGACCAACTACTGCCGCTAATAGAACATGGATTTCTTGATGGATTCTTCAGATGCATTAAACTACAGTATATGTGAGCACAGAGAGCAGGAGAGAAGCAAATAGACGTGAACACTGGCCAAGTCTAGGGTGTACTAAGGTGCAAGACATAGCAGCGGGTAAACAACAGTAACCCACCCTGTCCTTGTTAACTGGTTTTAATTCAAAGTTTCCACCATCTCTGAATGTCCCCCAGCTTTCCACAGAGCTCTAAACTGCAGGCATACAATCAAAGTGACTGGTAGTGTTTGCCACGAAACAACCCAGTACTAAGTATTTTCCTGTTGTTGTGGCGATACTTCCATCAAAAATAAAAGTGGGTCTTTGTGTCTGTGAAGATTCTCAGTCATCCAGATCATGGTTATTCTGGTAGATTAATCTTAGCAACTGGACTTTCTTGAGTTCCTTGAAGACGTTTCACATCTCATCCAAGAGGCTTCATCAGTTCTGTTTCCAGATACGTATGCCCTTAAGGAGCCATTAACACCTGAGTTTCAGTTTCAATGAGTTACTCCTTCCCCTCGTTATGCGAGTTGTTACTCCTCCCCCTGCCACAAAGGGGTTCGTTAGGGTCTTTTGTTGTTAGATAGCTAGTTGTGGGTCTTCGGTTCCTCAGATACCGGGAGCACATGAGGACTCTCGTGTTCACTCTTACAGCCAACGGCAGAACATTTGGTTTGCTTTACTTGTGGCTGAGGCATTTTAGAGTTTGCAGAAGCAGTTCTACAAAGTTAACAGAGAGGAAGCTGCTCATTCTAAATAGCTCGTTAAGCAGATTTCTAGCTGGACGACTATTCGTTCCTCACTTCCTATTTGCCGCCTGAACACAACTCTGAGTGGCTCATAAAGCTGGGAGGATAACTAGTTGAGGTGGGGCTTGAGGAATGGCAGAACTAAACATGTTCATATTCTTACAGCTTTTATTTTACACCTCCAAGTTTTTAACACACACAAAGCGAAATAAAAATGGATTTTGTACCATATGGGACGTGCTCTCAAACACAGATTTCTGATTCATTTTGCTAAAAATGGCCTAATGCATCTACATGCAAGTATGAACACTACTGAAATGCCTTTGAGCAAGACACTCTCACACTTTAAAAGAAAAATCCCTAACTCCTCAGCCTGGTGCTGCTCTGTAGCTGATGACACACTCCCTAAGGAAAGACAAGCCTGAGGATCAATGAAGGTAATATTGCAGCTATATACTTCCCATCCTACGTACTGACAGTGTAGTGAATAAAAGAGTCATAAAGCATCTCTAATGCATTGACAGGGTTACGACCAGATGAGGCTGGTTTGCTGTCTGAGCCTTCCTTCGGTTTAGTCACACTTTTTGAAAAATTAAATGTTCAGCAAAACATTGATTCTCTTTTCAGTTTTACAGGCTGAAAACTACATTTGATTTCATTATAATGAGAGGACACGGGTTTGAAAAGCGTTCAATTTGTGAAGTTAAAGTTAGAGATGCAACAATTAATTACTTGATTGTCAACTATTAAATTACTCTGTGACTCATGTTTTTAAGAGAAACAAAAGACAAGGCTAAATTCTCTGATTACAGCTCCCTAAATTAAATATTTTCTGGTTTGTTTTCTCCTCTGTGAAGCTACATTTCTTTAGATTGTGAACAAAAGAAGATGTTTGAGAATGTCATTTGGGCTCTGGGAAACACCGACCGACCGTTTTCACCATTTTCTGACATTTTACAGACCGAATAACTAATCGATCAATTGAGAAAATAATCAACAGATGGAAATATTCTAGCAGCAGCCGGAGTTAAAACTGTTGTGGCAGATCCTGAAACGATCTTTAACTGATCATCAACTTCCACACCTCTGATTGTCACAGCTCCCTGTTTTTTGTTTTTTTTTTGTTTTTTTTTTAAAGAATGGTGAGAGGATAAAGAGGGTTAAAACACCGCTGAAGCCAAATGAAAATGATCCAAGCAAACTGTGACCAACCATATCAAAACGAGTACGAAGGCTAAGTAAATAAGTCCAGAGGGTCCAGTGGGAATGAGCTGGATGTTGACATTAATATCCTGATGTCTAAACAGCGCTGCCGGTATTTATATATAAAACAACTCAGCATTTGCACTCGGAAAAGGCTGATAATTTACTTTTATTGATTTTCCTGGAAACACAGAACTGTTTCAG